CAAAAACCTGACACGATAGGACAGTTTGAAGTACACATTTGGAATCAACATACTCTTATTTTAATCAAGTACAGAATCATTAGTACAGCTAGCAAAATAGTCGTTTGTTCCCCCTACTTTTTTGTTTTATTGATTATAGGCTATAGTATAAAGTACATGTGAGGTACTTTGAGGTTAATACTAACTAGCACTATTATAAAACATTTAGTCAGTTTTTCATTTGAGTATTTATACTTATAAAATCCCAATTGTAATAAACTTTCTTTTTTGCTGTTGTATAAAAATCAATTATACTAGTTTTTCTCAGCACAAAAAAGACTTATGGCCATATCACATTGGAACATTGGTTCCCTGTACAATCACTGAAGTTAAGCAACATCTAGCTCAGTCAGTACCTAGATGGGTGACCACTTGGGAATACCAGGTGCTGTAATCTTGGATGTGCAGGTGGTGTAATGTATAATAGGTTGGAATTATTAATCAGAGCTGACTTTCAATTCCAGCCAGGTTCGTTATATTCACTTACACACAAATAACCTTGGGGAAAAGGCATGAATCCACACCACTTCTCCCCCACCTATGAGTTAATTGCTAAGACTTGCATCAGTAAATAATTGTCTCCAAAAACAACAAAAAAATATTCCCACAAACTAAAAATATTTTCTGGATCTAATAACCTGCAAAGTGTTAAGCTGTAAAAAATGAATTGATGAAAAATATAAGCAAAAAGGAGAAATACTACTACTTTTGATTGTTTTTTTTTCTAATAGAAATTCATCAAAATAAGCTTTTATAGTAGTAAAATTCATCAAAAAAATATGATCAACAAATGTTTGAATTGCAGCCTTGCAGAAACTGGAATTTTATTTGTATAAACTTTCTTTAGAAATCTAAAATTTACATTTTTAGCTCAAACCTGCTATAATTGTTTATTTTCTATGCTGTTGTGCATAAGGGAAAAGGTGTGGCACCAATATAAACCAGTTAATATAAATCATAATTGTGTCTGTATAAGCTGGGCTGGTTTGATCATGGATTCCAATCACATTAGCTATTTTATTGCTCATGCTTATTAAATTGTTCAGGATACAAAACATTTCTATCTTCATAATTTAGAATGTTTAATGAAATTAATTTTAAAAAATTGATAATAGTATTTTTTTGAAGATTTAATCAGCTTGTTGAATTTTCAAATTCAACAAGTTGATTACATCACAATAAGTCCTTGTAAAAATCACTAGAATTAGTCTAATCCTTCTTAATTTAATTTTCTTTCTCTTCTGCATAAAAAGGAATTATCAATTCAGATAGGAACAATATTTTGCAGAGTTTTCTAACATTGACAGAAACAAGGTTTACCAATAAGTGATTGATTTAATATTAAATGCTTACCAAATTAGTTTCCTTTGTATAAATGCTTACATTGCTATGTTCACTGTGTGGAGAGTTAAATGTATTTAGCTGCAATCAAATGACGGTTTTGAACAAAATTCTGATTTTATTTTTACTTCTTGTAAAGAAATGTCTTTTGTATATCAGTTGAATTTGATCCAGTTTCCACTTTAAGCTGTCTGGGATTGATAAACCTTCTACTGTAGAGACAATTCTTTGTCCCATGTCAGTGTGTCTAAAGAAAATGCCAACTGTTATAATGTTGTTGTTATCACCTGCCAGTGCGAAACAGGAAGTCCCTGGATGAAGAATCCACAAAAGCACATGCTGCCATTTGCCTGCGCCGCCATTTCTCTCAAAGTCATCACGCCCCAGGAAAGACTTCATTCTTTAGCTTTGGTAAAACAAGTGAGTGTCCAAGAGCTGACTAACTCCAAACTTCTTCCAGAATTTTGCTCTTATTAATCCCCTGTCCCCACTTACTAGCTTTTCTCTTTTTTTATTTAATTTCTCTTTTTAAGTTCCCACTTTTTAGATGCCTCCTAAATTCTATTCATTTTTTTTCCTAATCAAACATTTTCTCACTTAAAGGATTTTTCTCAGAAAGGATTGAGATGGGTAAAGACAACAGAGACAAAAATTCAATGGTTACTTTTCGATGGTGCTGGAAACTTTCAGAATTTATCTCCTGAATCATTGTAAACTTGAAACAAATTTTTCTTTGGCTACCTGGAAATATTTATTACATGTTAAGATGGTAATCATGGAGTAGGTGTTAGGACACTAGTCATGTAGACAATTATAACTATAGACAAGGTAACCAATGATTTGGACAAACAAAATTCACTGACCTTTTGTCACAATTGTAGCTTTGTGTCTGCTATGCTAAACTTAGTTAAAAGTACTGAAAATATCAACTTATGATTTTTAAAATTCCTCATGCTTTGAATATTGGATTAGAAAAGTTTGCAGCATTGTTGTATGATGGCATACATAATTTTTCTTCATTTGACACACACTTTGAAAGGGCTTTTTATGATTTGCGAGTAGATTGTGAATTTAAAAAAAAAATTTATATTAGGGAAGGGGGGGGGGGGTAATGCTCTTTTATCTCCAGACAAAGAAAATTGCTTTACAAACTGCAAAAGATATCTGAAAAGTACAGTTTGGATGTAGTTCGCTAAATACAAAAGTGGAAATTGCCTGTAAGGTCAAAAACATTATGACAAGCCTGCATTCATTGATGATGATTAAATCAAAATGTCAATTAAAAGTTAATACCCAACAAATATGACATTGCAGAGACACCCCCCCATCTCATATAGGGCATTTGAAAACACTTTAATTATGACAAGATTTGGATGCCTCATGATTTAATGGGCACATTTCAATCTACAATTCTTGGCTTAAATGTGGTGGGTTGGAACAATTAAAGCTGATGACTTGTTTAAATATTGTCAGGTGAAAAAGGTCCTGGCCTTGGGAAGAAAAGATGATCTGCCATTGGAAAGGTATTGTGTATTATGAACTCCCAGAGATTGCTGCCTTTAATCTAGTTCATGAAAATCACCCAGACTTGGCCAATCAGAAGGGTGTTATCAATGCCAGATTTCACTTATCTTCTCTTTGTAGACCCAGTAGAAATTACTACAGCCATCATACTGTACTCTCCTCTGACTGCTTAACACATATTTCGACCTCCTATAATTGGAAGATCTTCAATTCTCTGGAAGCCTGTAAAAACCACTTCACCCTTCAACAATGTTCAAACCAGTCCCATGAATATCATTTCTCAAAGTCTCATTTCCTGCATTATTTGCAATCATATATATGGCAGAGTATACATGGGGTGGGTTGAAAGCTAAAAGGCCAAACCAGTTTATCATGAAGTAATAGAATGGTATATACATGGTTTAAGAAATAAATGTACAAATATTGTCACCGAAATACAGTAAGGAAAAAGAAAATAAAATGCTACAAACTTCTCTTCTGACTCAATATATATGCAACGATTTCATTCAAAAAAACTTAAGCTTAACTTTAACACAATGCCACATGAATTTTAGAACACCCAAGAGAGGAAAAAGGTACTCTAGATTTGCAAAGTTTGCTAATATTCTCATGTCATAATAATTAACATGGATATTATTTCAATTCTGACTGAACAACCACTCCCACCAACTTTATTTTTAAAATGTCTTGCTTAATTTTGTAAAACTTTTCAAGTTTCTTAATGCTGTCATTAGAATGTTGGCTGCTGAACACTTCTGTTTATGGCAGTGTTACATATTTCCCCAGTAACATCATTGGGATTCAAATCCAGGTAAAAACTAATATTTTCAGGGGTTTTTTTTTAAAAAAAAAAAAAAATCTATGCAGTCTCTCTTCACTCAAAGAATACTAAAAAAATCTCTCAAATCCAATGCTTTGCTAAGCTTCTAAAACTTTTTAACCATCACGATTTTTTTTTTTTTTTTTTAAATCTTATAATTTGAAAAGGAAACAGCTTTTAAAAAAAAATCTTGAATTTTTGCAAAAGGTAATTACTTTCACTTACAATTAATTTAACCAATATCCCCCCTCCCACTCTTTTTGCAGGCCAGAAATTTCTATCAAGATTTTATCTGCTAGCTTTAAAAATGTTGGCCTACAATGAATGACCAATGCTTCAACTTTTCTTCTTTTGAATAATTTCTCAAAAATCTTACCTTTTCTTCATTTTTAAACTTGGATTCACATCTAAAACTTTTTCTTATAGTTTAACTTATTTTTTGGATTTTTTTTTGTTTCTTTCAGAAAACAAGACAGAGGCCCCTAAAACTCCATGAATACCCTGATGAAACAAAGTTGTGCTTTTTCCCTCCCCTTTCTTCTCACTCTCTTTTGAAACCAAACTGGATTTCGTATTTTCTACAACTGACAGCTTTTATTTGGTTGACATAAAATCAATTTTGCTTTCATAATCTTAAAATCATCCCTGAAAATTGAGAAACATGAACCACCTCACCTGTGAAACCTTTTGTAAACAATTCTAATTGAAAGAGGCATCTTTCTCTTCATCAAAATTGGCCTCAGATCAGCTACAAGTATTGACTCTTACAAGATTTAAAAAATAAAATTAAAAATCACTTTAATTTTTTTTAAATCAAAATAAAATCTTAAAACCATTGTTTTCTGTTGATTCCATCATTTCATAGCATGAAGAAAATTTGCTTGCCAACAGTTAACAAGTATTGCATCCCTCATCACTAGAAAATTCTATCCACACAGAGTATCTGGTTAAACTTTCCTCTAAGCTATGTTATGGTGATGGAAAAGGAACTGAAACTGAGATGCCTGGTTAGGACCAATAACATTGCAGCAGCATTATTCAAAGTAAGGACAACTGGACATAAAGATGTAAGATAAGTTCTAGTGAGAAAAATTGTCTAACATAAGTGGGAATGAAGGATTCATGCCTTTCTAAAAGGATTTGTGCAAATGCAACAACCTCAGTTGGACTGTCTACACTCACATCCATCATATGTGCATACTTCATCTTAAAATTACAAATGGATTCAAAACAAAAAAAAAAACCTTTTCTACCTGCATATGAAACCAGTACTTCATTACTTTGCTGACATAAGTATTGACAGATCTTTCAGGAAAACAACGGTAGTTACTGAAATAAAAAAATTAGACACAACATACTAGCTTCTGTGTGTGTGTTATGTCTTCTATATCAATATAGCCTCTAACCACAATGTAAAATTGTCACTGGCTGGATAACAGGTTTCCCTAGAACAAGGCATCCCCAAAGTGCTTGATTAAACTGTCCAGGTGAGAATTGAAGTTGGTTTGACAAAGATTTGATTTGAAATTAGAAAATGCAGATGTGTGTGCATGTGTATCCCAAAGCTATATCTTCATTCAAAAGTAAAAGCCTTCATGACTAGTGGAGTAATTTAAATACTACTACTAAACAGTGCAGCATTTGAGCCATTTTTGCTTTCATTCCAAAATTCATACTTAGTTATAGCACATAAATGCAATCCTAATAAAGCAAAACAGACTGAAACTGGAAGAGTGTGGTGATTTATGACAAACAAAAAAACTTCAATTTCCAACCAAATATCAATGTCCTTGCTATTTCTCAAACAAAATCTATTTTTAATGTGTTTATTATTATCTATATTATTTATGAAGTTTACAGTAATATGAAGAAAAAAAAGCAAAACATGGTATAGGAAGAAAAATACATGGTATAGGAAGAAAAATTGTAAAAGGAATAACAATAAGGAATGAATATTAAAAAAAAAAAAAAATTAAAAAGATATTTTTTCTTTTCTTTCATATATGTCTTAAGTTAATGAGGGATCAAGGATTACATGAAGGGGTTACTAGTGTAAAAAGTTGGGGACCCCTTGCCTAGAACACACATTTCGTTTGTTATCGAACTCCTCCTAGGGTTTTGGAGATAGATACCAAATATATTCTGAAACTACTACCCAGGGTACTTGGATAAGTGTATTTCATTTTGCAAACCCACACACACTGAAAATCACCCCACCCCCGTAGTCACATCAGCAAGATCACTGAGTAATACTGAAATGCATCATTTTTCTCCACAAATAACAATGATTTAAACTTTTTTTTTTTTTACAAAAAAGTTGTGACATGCAGCAATGCACAGGTAATACTGCTAGTGACAATATAAAGATGTGATTTAAAAAAGTCTGGTTTAGTCATTTTTTAAACATTTTAGCAAGGATACATTTACGGGTTTGATTATTATAAAATTCAACATTAATAAGTTTTTTTAAATTATGAAAATCAGAATCTAGTTGCTACCTCTTGTATAATTAGATCAAACACTTAATCTGACTCTTAAAATGGGTTGAGAGATTTTTGAAAAGCAAGTAGATATACCCCCCCCAGGATCTTACAAAGTAAATTTTGCTGATTTACTAAATTCTGTGACGCATTTCCAAAACTGATTATTTTAATCCTCATTTAAGTTACTGATATTAGGTGGACTTTGTATTATAATGGAGACATAATGCAGCAGGAGTAGACAAGTTAGAATTAAAATACAAAGTAAATATCAGTATTAGAGACAATGTATTGAAAATTAATTAGTAACTTCAAATTGTTGAAAATATTAGAATTCTTAATGCTCACATCAATAACAGCAATTGAATGTTATAGTTGTCATGGTAACATATTTTGACAATATTTAGGTAAAATGTTTTTTTTTTTTTTTTTTATGAAGCTAGTTTGAGATTTTGTATCAAAATACTTAAGAGATATTTTTTGTTTTCTTTCTTGCAAATCAAATTAAATTGTATACAAATAAAAAAAAACTTGATTTGATTCTTTTTAACAATGTAAAAATATTGACAAGTGACTCTTTTTTTCTTTCTTTTTTTTTTTTTTATTAAGGGGGGGAAAAAAAAAATTACTTTTTCTTAATTTTTTTTCCAGGACTAAAATTCATTTTCTTCTTTGAATTTAATTTACTTTTTTTCATGGACTTCAATTTGGATATTCCTTTTTTAGATTTTTCAAGCTTTTCAACTTTGGAAGATTTTTTGGCCTTTAGAAATCTCACTTTAGACTGTTTCACTAAGTCATTGTCAATTTTTGCTTTTTTACTCATTTTTTCAGGCTTCAGTTCTTTCTTTCTTTTTCTGGAGAACAGTTCTGAAAAGAAACAAATCAAAAATGGGAAATACTTTATTTCGTTATCTTAACTTTGAATTTTATGAGCAAAATTCAAAAAGGAATTTAGTAAGTTAAACTACTGAGAATTTACATTAAAAAAATATGTATGAATCAGTTTTAACTATAGAACATATTGCAAAAAATAATTTTATTTTTTTACTCTTAAACCTAATCATCTTTTACAATTTTTTTTTTCTTTTTACTGTGTTTTTTTTTTTTTTTTTTAATTATTATTTAAAATTATTCCACCTACCTGGTTCTGGTTCTGCTTGAACTTCTTCCCTATAATATTTGATGTCATTCTCAATGTCATCTTCAATGGCTTCTGGCATTTCAATTTTCTCTCCTAAAACACAAAAGTTGTAATTGGTGATTTTTTTTTTTTTAAATAATAATTATGGCTATCTCTGAAGCATTTTTATCACGCAAAAGATTAGGGGTTTAAAAAAAAAAAAAAAAAAAAAAAATAATATGAATAAGCTGCCTACTTTTAACAATGAAGATTGGCGACATCAACAAAACTACTTCTATACGAGTTTCAATGTAAAGGGAGATAATCCTAATGTAAGCACAGACACTAAAATTGTGAACAGTATTTTTCTAAGAAAATGTTTTTAAATGTTAATCTTATTCGGAACTGAGGAAAAAAAAAAATATATATATATATAACCCCCATATAATGAATTTTATGAACAATCTTATAGTAAACACTAAATAATGCTTTAAATGATAAGAGAGGCAAGGTTAATTTTTTTTTTTTTTTTTTGTAAATCATTCACTTATTGCAAGTTTTACTGAAATGAAATGGGTGAGGATAGACATACCTTCCAGTTCTTTTTCCTTCAACTCCTGTGCTTTCTTCATTCCTTCAAGAGAACGTTCTTTATGTTGTGCCATCAAACGAGCTTTTCTCAATACATTCTCTCGCTGTTCCTTCTTACGTTTTTCTTTGAGTTTTCTAAAAAAAAAAAAAAATTTTTTTTTTTTTTACCAAAACAAGAAAATTGGATGACATTGATATCGAGTATTAGTTTGTAAAGATCCCCCCCTACCCTATAATTTAAAGCACAATGTGACGTTATATTTATAAGCTGCACTGCCTGACCCCTACCTCTACTTACTAATGAGATATTCCAGTTACCATAAAAATTAGGGACAAGTTATAATACATGGCTTTTATTTTTTGTTAGCATTCATCAACTTAATTGTTGGGTTTATTGGACTTAATGATTTAAAAAGCAGAATTCTTAGACGGTAAAATAACACATGACAATAGACTTAATAAAAATTCTAGATGAGAGAACTTTCTTTTTTATATTTAAAAGATTTTTTTTTATTTTTTAGAACTATATAGTAAACACTTTTATAAAATTCATTATACATATATAATCTCCATTCAACCTTGAAATCACTTCAGACTGAGGAGAGTGATACAATCAATGGCTGTACTAATGATGAGAAAACCATTTGATTGCTACTATATCATTTTCAAAACACATTATTCAAGAGTAAGATTGAAAAATTTTATATATATTTCATATATATAACAGATCCCATTGAGAGCCCAGTAAGAATAGATAAATATCCTTGTGAGTGTAGGTGATCATGGCCAATCCATTCACAATTTCCTATTCTTTGTAGCTCTTAGTAAAATGTCTTTGCTATTTCTGTTTTACCAACCATTTACACAAGCTTGTTAGGTAAGTTATACAGTGCTTTCTCCCTGTCCCTCAATATATTCTGCAAGTGTTAAATTTTCCAAACACTTCAATTTCAGCTCTCTCTTTGATTCTGAGTATAAATGTCCTTTTTGTTTTCATTTTCTCTAAAACTTTGTCGTTTCTCATGTTCCATCTATTGTTTTCACAGTATTCTGAAGAACTACATTTCTGTTTGTCTCAAGTCTTTTTTTCATATGTGGGGAGATTGTCCCACATTTATTGTCATATAAGAGGACCAATATTATACAACAGTTCAGTACTCTTTGTTTCTAACTTTTCTTAATGTTTTGTTTCAGCTTTAGAAAATATGTGTACCAGGGACAGGTAATAGACAATTGGAATCTATAGTCATTCACTCACTGGCAGCCTTATGAAAAGGTCATTACGTGACTGAATAGCTTATGTTTCATTAAGTTTATATTAAAAATAACATTTGTAGAAAATTATTTTCTTTCATAAAAAATATTTCAAAAGAAAATTTTCAGTGATCAATTTTTATTATATAAAGTCAGACTAATGTCCTTGTCAAGCATTAGTTTTCTGTTGATCCCAGTAACCTTCAGGGAATTTGAAACTGAACCTGAAGAAGGTCTAAGGGGACAATGATTGAAATATTGTGATAACAAGGATATTAGTTTGTAAATAATAAAAATTCCTCATCCTAGAAATTCTAATTATTTTCAGATAACAATGTAACTTACATAAATATATTTCAATTAACAGAAGAAAAAAAAGGGTTTTGTTAAAGTAAATATAACTGAGGGTGGGGTTCTTGATTCTTTGATGTTAATTTCAAAATAAAATTATCAAAAAGACTATTACTGTTTTTCTTCTTTGCGTTTGATGGCCGCCTTGATGTCCTCAACTGATAACGTCTTGTAGCTGTGATAAAGGACTTCACCACCGCAGACACCTTCCTCTACTTTCATAAGTTCAAGAGTCATACGAGGACCAAGTTCTGTTAACCTTAAAAAAAAAAAAAAAAAAAAACAAATCGACATCAAATTCTTCACATTTTTATCCCCAAATCAGAGTATTATGTGTAGAAACAGTAGTAGGGCTCATTTCTGAGTATGCTTGCCTGCAAGGAAATCCTTTTTGCAGATGTCTGCTCAACACCCACAGTTGCAATATAAACTGCAGGTTGGCTCTAGGCAGAACTTAGTTAAAGTTTCTGGGAAAGAGCACCCAATCTGGTGCAATCAGCAGTTTGAACAAATACCAATAATCTTAAACCTTTGGTCAAAATGACTTGTGTTGGATTGATAACTTGATTATTTATAAATTATGTGTAGCAAGGCCAGGTATTTCCGGAGATGTATATTTTTGCAATGGTACAAAATTTAATTAAAGTGATAAAACAGATATATTAAAATAAGAAAAATTAAAAAATAAATAACATTACCATAAAGTGATTTAAGTGAAAAAAAAAAAAAAAAAAGCACTCAAATTAGTTTATCATCACTCTCTCATTCATAGCAATCAAGGATGAGAATACCAAAGATCCAACATTATGTAAAATATATAACAATTACAGGTTAATTACATTTATGCCTAACAACCACTCTTCCTGCTTACAGTATGATGGCTGGTTGAACTTAATATAAACAGATACCAATATCTTCAAATGAAATTCAGAATTGTCCTTCTTCAGTACTGAAACAAGGCATACTGCTAGTTTTTTTTAAACTAGTGTCCAGCTATCATGAATCAATTGTATTCATGCACTTGTGAAAATTGTCTACTTTGCCTTTGCAAATATTGGCTGGTATGTGTTGTCTGATCCTTGCTTCTAACCTTTGACATGTCACACTAACATTTGAATTAGTAAATTACCAAAGAAAGAGGAAGCAGAACATCCATCCAGATTGGACACAAAATTGTCCAAGCTACACGGATATTAACATGAATTGGTCGATGGATAAGTTTTTCATGCATACAAGAAAACCTTGTACTCACATCCACTAATCCCCAAAGTATAGGCAAATAAACAGGACATTGGGAGAGGAGGCAACCAGCTTAGATTTAACAAATTGTAACATTTTATTCTGAATGCTGGCCTCCACCATATCCAGGTACTTGCCTGCAGATTGGTCTGTGAGTTTTGTAATCAACATACATACTTACTGCTAACATATAAATAGCAAATAGGTTTCTTCCTTTTATGACCAATAACAAAGATGAGACATTATTTTTGTCTTGCTTTCATTAAAGAAAAAAACAAAAAAAAAAAACATGGAAATATAATTTACAATTTATCACATTTTTCTCACCTGATGGCACTTTTCATTGACACTGTATTTCCTTTGCCTGTCATTTTTTGCGGAAGAACAACTTCATTGTGTGGACCATCCATCTCTGCCTCACTCTCAGACAAATTGCCACCCCTACAACAAAATAATCAATCCTATAATTTTTGTTTTTCTCTTAATCTATAACAATCTGATTTTTGTATGTTTGTTACAACAAAAGTGGTACACCCCAGCATAATTTTCATAAGCACAATAGTGTTAAAATATTTTCATTTGCATAAAGTTATTAACTTCTTTGCATCATTTTATTCAATTATCCATAGAACATTAGACCTGTAATCAGGTTGTTAAAACAGCTACTATCGGCTTAATGAAAAAGCATTTCTGTGATATTTTAAGCTTAAAGTAAATAATATTCGTTTCAAATTAGATTAATTATACTTTAAATTCACTAATATTCCTCAAATAAAGCTTCAGAAAAGTATATTTTATTATTGGAAGATTTTTTTTTTTTTTTTTTAATAAAGAGATGAAAGACAACTAAAAAGGGGTGCTAATCAGCTGTTTTAGAAAAAAAAAAAAAAATAAAAACTCTTTCTAGTCAATTTAAATTTGCTTTATTTCAAAAACTAAGTATTTTGCTTATTGGAAATTTTAAATTTAATCTATTAGCTTGAAATTAAAACTAAAATAAAAGCTTCAAAATTTTTCATTTTTAAAAATTCATTTTAAACTTTAGGCATCACATTATTTGTGGAGATCCCTAGTATAAATTTTTTTTTTTTTTTAATCTTTCAATCTATCCAACTCCAGATTTATTAACTGAATCCTTGATCTGCTTGCACTCTTTCATCAGACAGAGCAGCATGCCCCACAACCAATAAGAATAATAGACATACTGGAGTAAGAGAAAAGAAGAAGAAGAAGAAAAAAGGTTAACCATACAATGTGTCCTTTTCATACATGGATAGAGGAAAAAGAAGAGAATGTAATCAACTATAACCTATTGAAGCTTGAAATTCACAAAAGCTATAGGAGCTGAAGGTCACAATCATAGCAATTGTCATCAGTGTATTTAATATGGTGACTGACAGAATAGAAACATGGATAAAGACAATTGGCATTGAGTATCAAGTGGAAATTTTTTTCTTTTTTAATCATTTCACCCCAAGCAAGGCAATAAAACCGCTAAGATGCAAGGGTGACAGTGTGAGAAAATATGAGGAGGGAAAAAAAAAGAAAAGAAAAAACACTTAAGGAGAGAGAAAACAATAAAAGAACAGGAATTAAGACAGAAGATAATGATTAACATTGCATTTAAATTTTTGAAGATCAAAGTTGACTAGGAAACAAAAAGCAAGAAGAGAATTCCACAAGTGAGAAAGGTGACAGAAGAAAATATTAGCATAGAACTTACAGGCAAGTTACAATTTCAAAAATTTCATCTTTTTCCGGTACAGCTGCTGACCAGCATCTTAGTAATTCTGTTACAACCATCAAGCACTTACACAAAACATATACATGCAAACTTAACATTTCTAAAAATTGTTAATTTTGTGGAAATACATTGTAATTTTAAACAAAAAATGTATATTTGTTCCTTATTTGCATGTTAAAAGTTTTGATTGCCATTGCTGTTAGTTAAGCTAAAAGTACTTACATATCAGATGAAGTACAAATATAAGTATAATTTATCTTATATCTATCTAGATATAAGTATAGAGATAATATTATAGTTGAAGTGTTGACAACTGGCAGTATCCAGGAAAATTTCATGTTTTCCTATATCTTGATTTTTCCAATAAATCATAATTTTTAATTTAATGATTATGTTACTTGTGATTTCCATGACTATAAAATACCAGTGGAAATTCTACTATTGCATTGTTACATATTTGCAGATAACTTTAACAAAATGATGCAGTAACAACAATAAGCATGAATGCAGGTCATAATTTAAAAGATTGCGTTTTTTTTTGTTTTTTTTTTTCTCTCCACAGCAAAATCTTTTTTTTTTCAAGTCATTTAAAGCCAGAAAATATTTTTAGATAAGAATTTTTTGGAGATAATGATTTAGTGATACAAGTCTTACTAATTAATCCATAGCCAGGAGGGAGGAGAGGTGTATTCATACCTTTCCCAAAGGTATTTGAATGTAAGTAAATATAACAAACCCAACTGGAATTGGAACCCTGCTCTCAGATTTCCAATTCTGAGCTGTTATCCATTGCACCACCCACACACCCAAACCTTGTATACCTAAGCAGTCATACATCCAAGTACTGACTAGATTCGACATTGCTTAACTTCAGTGATTGTATGAGAACCAGTGTTTCAATATGATATATCCAAAAGGCCAATTAAAAGAAAAATCACTGCTGTTATAGAAGTCATTTTGTTTCATTAATAAATTTTAGCAAGCTGAGCAAAAAAATTTTTTTTTTTTTTTTTTTTTAAAAGTTCAGATTATCAAAAAATGTATTTCTGCTCATCTGATTCTTCAATCTTTTTATTTCAGTTAAATGTTAACTAAATGGGAAGAAAAGAAGAATCTTCTATGCACAGCTTCAGATTTTGCTTAAATATTTTTGAAAATAATTCTAATCAAAATCTAATGGAGACCAAAATCTTCAAAATTATACTTACATAGTAATACTAGCATAGTACCCATAAAAATGACAGGATCATTTACACTTGATCACCACTCCTGTCTCAAACCAAGGGTTTCACATGGCAGAGAGAGGAGAGACACATTACATTTTATATATATGAATTACAATAAAAAGATTTTTTATTTTGTCTTCCAACTTTTACCAACAGCATTCAGGAAAATGTGAAATGAAAGAGAAAGTTAGAAATCCACTTACATTTCTACATATTTGCTGATGTCTTTGTATTTTCCCAAGTTTGGTATTTTTCCTTTGATTAATTTCTTCACAGCTTTTCCAAGTCCCACTGGCACTAAACTGATGTTGCTAAAGGGAAAAAATACATGGAATTAATTTCTTTTTTTTTTTTTTTTTTACTGGAAAAACAAAGGAGTTTTAATTCAGGTTGAAGGGGGGACTGCTGCACATAAAAAGTGAATTTATTATAAACACTTCTCCAAATAAAGAGAATTTTTACAATTGTCACAAGAATTTCTGATGTGGATTTTACCAATAAGTGAATTTATACCTCATGGCTGGTTGGAATGGAAATTATTATGGTTGTACTGTACCATATAGGATAAATTACAAATGTTTGCAGGAGGAATATAATAGTATTGCTGATGTGGATTTTACAAGTGAGTGAATCTATATGTGCTACCAATTGGAATGGGAATTGAGAAGTTGATATAAAAAAGCCAATCGTATATACTTGAGTATAGTGCAGTTTTATGATCAGGGTTTTATTGAAAATGTAGATGGGTTACACTATACAGGGGTAATTTTTTATAGAGTTTAAAAATCATGTATTTTTGGTCACCAGTTGTACTATACACAGGTAAATTTTTTTCTGGAGGGGTTAAAATTCATACAAAGAAATTCAGGGATCACACTATACATGATGTTGGCTTATACATGTATATATGGTAAATAGGTAATTTGGATTTTACTAGCATACCAGAAGTACCCTGGAGCCCACACGTTCTATAAATTGAACTACCAACTGGAATCGCCCAGAATTTGAACTGTTTGGGTTGGGTGAAAATAAGAGCCACAACCACCCCCCACCACATTTTCTGTCATAAGATACATGCGACACATTGTCGCTTGGTTTGACGAGGTAAGTTGCCGTTTTTTTCACTATACTTATTAATAAGAAATTAATAAAGATTATTTAACGAAAGTGAATTTGTAGAAACAGAGTTTTTTTTTTTTAAGAGGAAATTTATCATAGTCTAGTAATTAGCAACCAGATCAACTACAACCTATTTATATACCCAGTACCTTGGGGCACACGGCCCTATCCACAACTGCCACTTGTGCAACACCCCCAGATATCCAACCCATTGCTTCCTTCTCCTCCATAGTTCTTCAGCATGTTGTTTTTTTGGTCCTGCCTTAAATTGTGATTAATGAATAGCCATCTTTTTACCATACCTCAACATTAAGGCATTCAACAGAGGTATGTTGGGAGTCACACCAACTTTAATTACTTTTGATAAAATTCAAAGAAGAATCTGCAATATTATTGGTCCTCACCTGGTGTCTCTGCTTCAGTCCCTTTCCTACCACCACAAAGTTGCTTCCCTGTGCCTTTTATATAAATACTCTCAGGGTAATTGTTCGGATGAGCTCTTCACTGTATGAAGCGCAGTACTAGATTGGCAAGAAGGTCTCATCAATCTACAGTTGAATTGGCAAGATGTAACTAACTTCTATGCTAAGTTTCTTTTCTCACACTTCTTGCTTGTGGAAATTTCTTCTAGCTTCTCGCTTTCCAGTTAACTTTGATCTTCAAAAATTTAAATGCAGTATCAATAACTATCAACTGTGTTCTTAATTCTTATTCTTTTAGTGTCCTCTCTCCTTAATAGTAGTTTTTCTCATATCCTGATTACTCATTTATTCTGTCTATATTTCAGAGACAAGGTATTGTAATTAATTACACTATTTACATTGTTCAGATGGCTGTCCTCAACTTCATTGTCATATTCATATTTTGACCTTCTTCAGGTAATTGGAATTTCAAAGTGAACCCTTTATTTTGTTCTAGTTCCACATGCCATGTCTCTTAGTATCAGTATCAGTTATCGCCCTTTAACTTAACTTTCCCAGTTTTTGTTCACATGGCCCAGTGGATAAAAGTGTTAGTTGAATCCAGTGACTTGACCCAAAGAGTTGAGAGTTCAATACCTGGCTACAGTAGAGGTGAACAAAAACTTGGAGAGTTGAGTTAAAGGGAGATAACTGATACCAAGACACCCAGAAGAGGCACAGAACATGATACTAGAACAATCTACCCTGATGGACGAAATAAAGGGTTCAGTTTGAAATTCCAATCACCTGGCAAAGGCTAGAGCATACTACGTCCAAAATATCATGAATATGGCAATGAAGATGAGCACAACAGTTCAAATACTGTTCTTGCTCCTTAGTAATATTCCTGTTTACTAATTCTTTCACATCTAGTAACCCCTTGTGTCTTAGTGGTTTTATTGCCTTGGTTAGGGTAAATTGAAAAAAAAAAAAAAAAAAAAAATCACAAAAATTAACTGTGATACTTGCACTGCTTTTTAACAATACCAAATTTATGGATACACAGAAGATATAAGGTGCTATTGTATTAAGTTTCAATAAGGTTTATATCATGTTTATTAAATACAAGATGTTTTTTCCCAGCGCTACAATAGCTGAATTACATATATTGATAACCAACCATTGACAAATGTGCTTAATCCCTTAAAACAGAATTTTTTGCGACAAGTCACCAACCAAAGCCAGCAGTTCAAATATCTATTTCCTAAAACAAAACAAAAAAGTTTTAATCCATATTTTCATTCAACCCATTTTTTTTGCACCAACAATACTGTTTACAAATAAAAGTTAATAATCAACTAAATTTAAATTTTAAAATTTCAATGTAAATTCAACTTTTCCCAAAACCTGAGTGGCTTGGTTGTTTTTGTTTAACAGCATATCAACACCTATATGGTTTATTAATGCCAAAATCTAAATATTTTGAACGCAATTTTTCTTTTTATTTGGGAGATAATGTTTTAGTGATACAAGTCACAATTAACCCATAGCTGGGAGAGAAAAGACGGATTCATGCCTTTCCCTAGGATATTTGCACACAAGTGAATATAACAAACCCAACATGAATTAGAACTCTGCTGTTATTAACAATCCCAAGCAATTATCCCTTACACCCCATCCCAGGTAATCCCAAGTGGTTACCTATCTAAGTACTGATCAGGCTTGATATTGCTTAACTTTGCTGATTATACAGGAACTAGTGCTTCAACATAAAACTTTAAACCTTCTATATACTGGTAAGTATTAATTCTTGTTTACTCTTGTGCAAGAGAAAGATAACTTGAGAAAAATTGATTGATTGTTCTGTTTTAACGACACATCAACTCCGTTAGTCATTTAATGCAAAAAAGATTTTTTTTTGTATTAAATGTTGTGCTTGTAAACAACCCTTTGGATCATTGGTTCCATCACTCTAAAGTTATGCTTTTAGAATGGAATTATTTAGTGCTATAATTTGTGGTATGGGTCAACCTCCTTCAAATAAGCTAGGAAAGTCTACTTTTATCATCTTGAAAAGGTCCTCTTGAGTAATCATGTCAAAATCATTGACATATAGGAGCAGGGTCACTACAATCAGAATGTTTTACAGTATATGCTTCCTGACATGCTGTGCACTCAGAAAGATGTTCATTTTTTTTTTGGAGGAATGAGTGAGTGATATAGGTGTGTCCTATTCTGAATTTTGATATGACAACTTCTTCCTTCTGAGATCATGATGCCATTTTCCTAGGATGGATTTAATTTTATAAAGTTTTTTGTTTGGATGGTAGTTCCATAACACTTGCCACTTGTTTAGAACATTGAGTTTATAGCTGCTTTAAAATCTGTATAGGGGATTTTCAAATGTTCATTTTCAAGGATTCCTTTGCTGCCATGTCAGCTTTTGCATTTCTGTGGACCCCAATATGGGTAGGATATGGAGAGGTACCTAAGGAAAAAAAAAAAAAGACAAGTTTCTTTTTTGCAGATGAGATTGATCCTGTTTAGTAATTTAACTATTCGGGATCAATCTCATCTACAAGGGAAAAAAAAGATCTTGGAAAAGGTATGAATCTGTATTTTCTATCCTCCCCTAGCAGGTTAATAGCAGGACTGATTGAGTTTTTTTTTTATCCTTGGGTGGCAACCAAGCCAAAGAGAAGGCAGACTGAATTCCAAACTGAGAAACTATTCTACTATATTTCCCAAGAAATCCTGCCATTTCACAAAAAAAGAAGAATCTATGGAGAGCTGTGATCACCTATATCCTGAAAGAAAACATGAATATGAAGGGGTATATATTAAGACATACTTACTAATGTCTAAATTCTATAAGTTTTGTTTCTGGGTTATAAGTGAGGAGCAGACATCTTTGTACATGTTTGAGTTTCACCTAAAATACAAAAATAAATAAGAATTTGTAAGTTTAACCATTTGGATGAAAAGTTGAAAAAACAAATTACTGTTAGAATTTAATCCAAAAACTGAAGTGAGTTTCTAGTCAGTGTGAAAAAGAATATGTAACTTCATATGGAGATCAATTTTTGGTGGTGGAAACAAATCATTTACATGCCACTTAGGATTAAAAAACCGAATACTTGAGAAAAGATATTTACCTCTTAGGTAAATCTATTCTGACAAGACAAAAATCATTTTGACTGTGAATAGGAAATTGAGTATAACTGGCAAATCCCTGCACCTACCTGTTACCCTCTGCCCAAGACAAGAGAGTGAAATTTTACAAATGATTGATTCCAGAAAGGGGTTTTCTTATACTACCAACCACACACAGAAAGATTTCCTTAAAATTTCTAAGTAAAAATAAAAAATATTAAAACCCAGAGACTAGGCCAGGGATCCCTCAGTTTTTGAGAGGCACTTAAACAAAGCTCATGCTAACATATGACCTGGTTATCATTTTTAGCGAGGAAAAGAGAATTCTTTAATTTGAATTTTTTTTTCTCCTCTTATAGACTAAGGATCCTCAAATTTCAGTTACTAAACTGCAAATGGTTCACAATCAAATCATATTACTAAGCTATTACTCTAAGACAAAAACTCAAGAAAAATTGTGGCCAACTATTTTGAAATAAGCATATCTGTTCTGTTCATTGTGTCGGAGTGTGACCATCTCATCCAAGATTTTGGTTGTTTCATGTTTCATGGCTGAAGTAACAGAAGTAGTTATCTTACTTACTTATTATAAAACGCAGATTGTGTGTGTGTCTGTAACGTTTATATATTGGATCGGATTTCCTACATTTTTCAACCGATTTCAACAAAACTTCATAGGACTACATAAAATTACCTTGTGGTGGTTCTAACAGTGCCAAAAATGGGAAAAATATAATTTTTGCACAAAATCAATTTGAAAACACGATTAAGAGACATCGTGAAAATAGAAGGGGGACAACTCCCATCGGGTTGTTTGTATGTGTGGGTTCCTTTAAATATGGGATCGGATTTCCTATATTTTTCAGCCGATAAAACAAAAATTCACTTTTTTGGGGGCAGGTAGTGTTTCTTATTCTCTTGCACACTTTTTTCTTTATTTTTAATATTCAGAATGTTTTAAAAATTCCATTTACAAGACAATTATTTATAATAAAATTCTATTCAATCAGGAGACTCATAACGATTAAAAACAATGTTTTTGTTTTGAGTTTGGGTTTGACCAATTCGTAAAAAAAAACAAAAAAAAAACAAACTAATTAAGACATGCGTGTCCGCCAACCTTAAACAATAATCTAACGATCTCTACTGATTGTACGAATACAAACATCGGATAAATTCTTTATCTTTAGGGAAAGATAATGAAATCTAAACATACACAAGTCCTAACTAAAAATAATAACCGGAACGGGAAACTACTTTAAATACATATGGTGTCCAATTTTTTTACTGTATTCAATAAGTAAAAATCATAAATTGTAAAAGATTATTATTACAGAAAGGCTACTAAATGAATAAGATTTGTTAGATCATAATTAATAAACCCAAATAAAGTTAATATTTTTTGTATTAGAAACAACGAGTGGAAAATATATTCAAATCAGTATTCTAATTATGTATCACCACAAGCAAAATATGCAATTTTTTTTACTGTATTTAAGTAAAAATCATAAATTGTAAAACTAAAAGATTACAGAAAGGCTACCTACATTTTTCAACCGATTTCAACAAAACTTCACTTTTTTTTTTGGCATGTAGTGTTTCTTATTCACTTGCACACTTTTTTCTTTATTTTTACATTCAGAATGCTTTAAAAATTCCATTTACAAGACAATTGTTTATAATAAAATTCTATTCAATTGGGAGACTCATAACGATTGAAAACAATGTTTTTGTTTGAGTAATTCGTAAAAAAAAAAAAAAAAAACTAATTAAGACATGCGTGTCCGTCAACCTTAAACAATAATCTTTGTCAATTTTATTTTTCAGTCTTTATGATGGTGGATACTAGATCTATCTCTTACTGTTATAATGCCGGGCTCTACTGCTAGTACTAAATAAATGAAAGTTAGTCTGGAGATACAGAAAGTTGAGAAAACTATAATGAAAAAAGAAACTAAATGAAATGGTTGAGTAGAATGTAAATAAAAAAAATGCTTCATTAAGGACTGAGATTGGAATTGTTGAATCAAAACAGATTCCTAATTTCAAAGAATGCATATGGGACAGAATCATTAAAAGACTGAGCAAAAATAATCCAAATATTTTCCTATTCACCCAAAATACATGTATTTCTCATCAATTGTCTACTTTAGAAGAGAGGTTCCCAAAGTGAGTTCCAAGGAACCCAGGGGTTCTGCAAAGGAGTGTCTGGTGTTCTGTGACAAAGGTTCAGATTAATAAATTAATATAACACATTATCAAGATTGGTAAATAATTTCTAAAAAGGAAAAAAAAAGCTACTAACAAATTTAGATCATTCTATAATGTTGTGATGTATATTGTAATACTTTTCTATATCAGTAAATGATAATTGTATCATGCTACTGCTGAATTGAAAAGTTGTTATTGATTGTGATATCATCTGTGTACTATGACACCACATAAATCTGAAAATTAATTTTCTCGCTATATTGGAAAAAGCTCTGATTGTGAATTGACTTGTTGGCATGTATATATATTCCAGCTAGAAACACAACACCAACCTAATTATGTGAAAGTGGATTTTCCTATTACACTGCCAGAAAATGTAAATACCAAAGTAGATGACTTGAGAATCAAACTCAAGTATAAAGCCAAACATTAAAAACTTATGTGACAATATGAAACAGAATCACTTTTCTCATTGAATGTTCAAACAAAAAAAAAAAAAAACAACTGATTACATATTGTTCATAATTCTGTTCCATGTGTTACTTGTGGGAAGTATGAAAATTAAAGAAAATCACATTTTTATTAAAAAATATATCAATATATATTATTTTTTTTTAATTGATTTTTGAACATACTTATTTATAAAGCATATGAAAATATTTATATTACAACTATATAAAAATATTAGTATCTGGGGTTCCCCACCAAAACCAAGAAGGGTTTCACATCTGAAAAAGTTTGGGAAACTCTGCTTTAGAAAATAAAGAAAATATATTTATGGATTCAACTAACCATCTCAGGACATCTGTTTTTTGTCAAAGAGAATCTTTGAAGAAAAAGCTTACATGACAATTCCAGTGCCTAAAGACTTTATACAGTATAATTTCTTCTTGTGCAGACAGCAGAGGTAGTGGTTTTATTGCATATCAAGACTGTCCTTTAATCATTCTACATAGTTGCAAATGAGACAGAAATCTATGATTCAGATGACAATCAATTCAATTCCAGTTGATGCCAGTTTTTGCCCAGGTTTTCACCACATTACATTTCAGGATTGATTCTTTCAAACCAGTTTTCTCATCCTTATAACTTTTATTACTAGCCTTCCTCAGGTATCTGTGACATTCCAGTAACCAGCCAGGATAGTCAAATAGAGCTCTATGTTTGATCTACAGGTGCATACCATTCTCATTTCAATACTACTGTTGTCCTTTCAGCAATTCTTCCATATGATGCCACTGCCTCTTCACCATACCGACTTCAGCCGACTTCTTTCAGATGAGCTTTACCCTTGTCTTTCTTTATAAGTAAGAGAATCCATGGATCAGTAGGATGTTGAGACTGTGGGCTTAAACCTGATATCTGTTATTTCCTAATTGCTGAAGCTGAAATATGATCTCATAAAAGCAAAGACAAGCATGAAAAAACAAACATTGTTAATTCAAATATAAATCTAAAAAATTAACTTCTGAAAATACCTTATTCGTTTAGTATTAAACCCTTTGGTATTCCTGGTTATGAAATATGGTTTTTGATATCTACAACACTTACATAGTTATAGGTTTCTGACAACTCTATTTGATCATGTGATGATTGTTAATGCTCTGTATTGAAATACCCTGTTACTCAATTGAAAAGCATATTCAAGCATTTCAGAAACTGTAGGTCTGTGAAACTTGTGTACCCACTTGGGCATTTAAAGGCATAAAGGTTACTGAGACTATATAATGTCTGAATTACATATTCATCTGCAAAAAGTTTTCACACAAAGTTAAATATGGACAACTTTCACGATATTGGAAGAAAACCCTAAATATAAAAATCACTGATAATTTCAAACAAGATCTTTGTTGGCTGATTCAATTAAAATCTTAAAACAATAAAATGTATGAATGAGATTCGATTCTTCAACATCTATGGCCTTCATTATAAAGATACACACTGTGACTGAATAACTTTTTATCGTTAAATTAACAAATCCAAATTTACCTGGTTGACATTTATAGTAGGGAACATATTTTGGAAGATGGTGGCAATCAGTTTAATATGCATTGACTTCTCTCCTAGATTCTTCATCACTAATAAAGGGTGATGATCATACTGCTTGGGATTTTGGTTGACTTTTTTGGCTGCTGATTTCACATCTCGTCCAAGTGTATACTGGCGAACCTTAAAGTGCAACGTGGGCCCTCTCGGATTACAGATGATCCGCAAATTCATAGAATTGTCAGTTTTGGTAAAACACAAAATCTGAGTGACATTTAGAAGGCCAGAAATTGAGGTGAAATCCTTTAAGCTGTTCCATTTTTTTACCTAGAAAAAGAAAAAAAAACAAAAACGTTAACAAGTTGGAGTGATTTTGGAGGTGTGGAGTGATGGGTGTTTGTATACATTTGTTTTTTATTATTGTTTTATTATTATGTCTATCATTTCTTTGATTGGTATTTTAGTGAAAAGATTTTTGGCATCCATTGATGCTAATACACCCACATTAGGTCTGTTGTATTTAAGGATTTCTATGAATGTGTGTGTAGACTTAAAAGTAAAAAAAAAAAAAAAAAATAAAGAAAATAACAAGACAAAAAAAAACAAAATAATGAGTAGGGTGAGAGTAATAGAAGTTGTATAGTAGACTCAAAATGTATTTCTTTGGTTTTATTCAAAGAATTTGACAATCTACATGACATGAAATAATCTGGGTACCCTTTCAGTAAGGAAACAAAGTCCATGGTCTTTAAATGAGAAAATAGCTATATGAACATAGAAATCAACACTGTACAGTTTCACACCCCAAACAATAGTCAGACCATATCTCACTAGCGCTTATATATATATATAAAAGGAATTATTCTATTTAGATTTAATTAATATGTAAAAGTAAGGATGGAGTTATTTTTTAAAATTGTTCTCAAACTTTTGACTTCATCTATGTTGCTAGAATGAATATGTCAATGTAGCAAGTCTAGATTTTTAGTTTGGGCATTTTTTTTTTTAATTTAATTTTCTAGGGCTGACACAAAATAGAGGACCATGCCAGAGAAAATTGAACAGAAAATATGCATCAAATTTTGCCAAAATCTTGATGATAACCTGTGCAGAGGCCTATGCAAAGTTACAGAAAGTGTATGAAGAGGAATGTACGAGCCGTGCACAAGTGGTTCAAACATTTTGAACATGGCCAACAAAATGTTGACAGTGATACTGGTAGACCCACAACCAGCAGAACTTATGAAAACATCACAGGAGTGCGTGCAACTGTTTGAAAAGATCATTGAATCAATGTGTGAGAGTTGTTAGAGGATGTGAACAAATTATAATATAAAGAAAATTAAAGAATATATATATATATATATATATATATATATATATATATATAATGCCTGTGGTAATAAAACAGTTATTAAGTATATATTAATAAACATACAAATTATCCCTCACCAGTAGCATGACTTGGAGATTTATATACAAGTCTTCAGGTGTTGAGTATAGAATGACCATTACATATTTTAAATTTTAATAAAAGTATCTGGTTACTGCAATGTTGGCACAGTGCATATATTATACAGGGATTACAGATTTTTTTTTTTTTTTTTTAATATATTTCGCATTTAAAATAAATAGAATTTATATATCTATGTAACAAAGGAAAAAAAAAAGAAAATTAAGATAAAAGCAAATTTTCTAAGCCATCCACAATAGCAATTATTCAACCCAATTAAAAATAATATTGGTAAAATCAGCAAAAACTTCATTGAAAAAGCATGCAAATACATGAAAGATGCTCTAGGAATTAACCAGTGGTACAAAACAACAGAAGCTATAGAATGCTTTATTAATATAAAAGGGAAAAAAAAAGAATGTACATTTATCCAATTTGATATTTATGACTTTTACCAGTCCATCATCGAAAATCTGTTAATATCTGCTATAAATTTAGCAAAAAAAAAAAAAAAAAAAAAAAAAATTACTGTCCTATTAGTGATTGCAAAATCAAAATCATAAAGCAGACACAAAAACTTCTATTATTCCATAATGGTTATCTGTGGACCAAAAGAAATAGCCCAGACTTTGAAATTGCTATGGGAGCATATGATTCAACAGAGGCATGCAAAATTGATGGAATCTTGTTGTGGCAACTAAGATTTATTTTTGACATTAAGGACACAAGACTCTATAGAGATGACAGTGTAATTCTCCATAAAACAAGTCCAAGGAATAAATATTACTACTACCAACTTTCTCAATGTGACCTTGGACTTGAATACTGGTTATTACAAACCATATACCCAGACACCTATATACCCAGACACCTATATACCCAGACACCTATATAACCAGACACCTATATAACCAGACACCTATATAACCAGACACCTATATAACCAGACACCTATATAACCAAAGATACATCAGTAAAGAATCAAACCACTCTCATAACATCATAGATATTTAACATAAATCTTCCAAGTTAGATTATCTACTAACTTCAGCAATAAGGAAATATTTGATAATAAAATTAAATATATAAAAGCTTTAGAACTAAGCAACCATAAAGTAAATTTAAAGTATTTAGAAAAAAAAAAGGTAAAAATAAACGGATACACCATAAACATAAAATCATATGGTTTAATCCAAATTTTAATTATGTTCAAATGAATATCAAAAGATTTTTCTTAAATTTAATTCATCAAAAATCATTTACAAACACTAAAAAAGATTTTTAACAAAAATAATGTTAAGATCAGCTATAGCTGCATTAGTAACATCGATAAATCTATATCCCAACATATTATATTAAACAGATATATGCATAAAAAGCACCGGTCTTTCAAAACATTTCTGGCAATTAAAAAATGGTGGTAATACGTGGGATATTGTAACTAAAGCCAATTCTTACAATGAGAAAGGCAATAGATGTAATTTATGTCTTGTTGAAAAATTAGTTATCTTAAACACTAGCTTAATAAACAAGAGAAAAGAATTGCTGGTTACATGTACGTATAAAAATAACTGTTCAAATATGTTGATCCAGATTAATTTTTAATATAAATTAGGGTTGTTTTTTTTTTTTTTTTTTAAAGTTGTCTCTCTTTATGCTTAATATAAAAATAAAAAAAATTAATATTCACAACCCTAAACTATTTTTTTTTCCACACACACATTATATATATATATATATATATGATAGATAGATAAATATATAGGTGTGATAAAAAAAAAAAAAAACTTGTATGGAACAAGCTAATATTAATTTTTCAAAGATTGTTGGGTTAATTTTAGGGGAGGGGGGAGTGGTGGGTATTTGTGTAGGCATCTTTTATTAATATACGTTTCATTGACCGGTATGTTGGTGAATAAGATTTTGGTATCAAGTAATGCTTGCACACTTTTGATTAGCACGTTTTTAGGGTTTCTATGAATTTTTGTGTGGAATTAATGCTGAGCTTTGAGGTTGAGTGTTTTGCCTATATGATACGTAAGTAGGTCTGAAAATTTGTCATATTGGTTTTAATGGTGTTCCTTGTTTTTGGGGTTTTATTTTCCATGGATATATTTGCAACCTATATTCATTTCTGATCTTTTTTTTTTTTTTTTTTTTTTTCATGAATCCTATTTCTGAATTATTGGCAGTGACCACTTTGTTAATGTTTTTTTTAAGATCATCAATAGAAATTCTGTGTAGAAAAACAAGAAAACACTAATACCATGAACCATCACATGAATATGCAAAAATGTATATGATACTAGAAATGAAGAAACTAACGATATAGCACAAAAAAATAAATATCTGATAATGACTTGGGATTTGTACCTGAAACCAACAAAATGATTGAAAATGTGGAAAAAAATAAATAAATCCATAAAATAAATTTTTGATGTTCTAACCAACAAACTTTAAGAAACAAAAAATTGCTACCTAAATACAAATGTGTATATTTTTTGCAGACATGAAGGTCCATGTTTGCCTACATTTTTTTTTCAAAATAAAATGTTGCAATAAATACAACTTGCATTGTTTTCAATAAGTGTCCAATTTGAGATTGTGGTACTATACAGTCAAATGTAAACTAAAAATTAATAAATTTCTCCTAAAATTATTTAAAATTCTAGTCTTTCTTTGTACAACTTTCAGTTTCCCAATAACTTGATCTTCAAGCACATTTCAATTGTGTTCATTAAATCATAACAAACAAAATATAAAATGGCATATCACGAAGCAAATAAGCAAAATGCAATTATTAAAAATATAAAAATAAAATCCTTTTAAATGTCTCACCTTAACTCGAGAGGCTGTGTATGGTTCCATTACCTGTCGGACATCTCGTACAAGTTGCCGGGCGTATTTGCCAACCTTACCTTGATGAATGACAAATGAATGTGGGGCATTTTTCAACTCTTCTGGTTCTTCTTTCTGAGAAGATTGTAACTTCCGAACTGTCTTTGACTAAAAAAGAAAAAATAAAAGTTTTAAATTGCATAAAAATGAAAAAATCTAGAATGAGGCATAATGTGCTTAACAAAAGACACAACCATTGTGACAAAGAAAATCAGTTTTCATGGATATCTTTCCAGAGATTTAAAATGTTATCTTTCCTAAGAATTCTTATTGGAGTTATTGTTAAATATTTATTTTATTGGTCTACCAAGGTTGTCTATGGAGGTAACAACATTTTTTTTTTTAATGCCAAGTATAATTTAAATATTGGCAATAATTTCTACCTAAGATTTTATTTGATTCTTTTCTGTTATATTTGAAAAGAAAACGTAACTCCTGAAATTAAGGTTTAAAAAAAAAAAAAAAAAACCCTATAAGACCACACTCAAAGTTCACTACTAGGATATCTTACTGCTGTTAATGCCAGGATAGATATTTATGGCAAAGTGGTTCACCTAAAATGCTCACTCACTATCCTTTGTCAATCATTGTTGCCTGACAGTGATGATTTCATTAACACTTTGAATCATTACCCTCTGATGGCTAAGGATCTCCCACCCTGGTCAGTATTCTGTCTGCCCAGGTATATGCACTTTCACCATCCACTCAGGTTAAGATATCTTGTGATAGGAGAGAAAGAAGGGAAAAGCATAATACTGTCTTCCATAAAGGTATCAAGGCCAAGTAAATACAAAAAAAAAAAAAAAAAAAAAAAAAAAAAAAAACTGAAATTTTAACTCTGTCCAATAATTCTCTTTTCTTAGCTGATAACTGGTTTGTGCAAATAATGTGGCAAGTAAAATAAAATTGAAGTAACCAAGTTACTTGGCTTTTCCAGCAAGTTCTATACAATAAATTACTTTCTTGCAGTGATACAAGTAAAAAAATAAATTTCCTTCTTTTGTCTGAAGGTTAAAGAAAATAAATGAAGTAAACTAGACAAGTTCAAAGTATTTATTTCTGACAATAACTTAATTGTGGTTTGCCTTGTGTCATACTGATTTTGCTTTATTAGCTTAAATGTACGACATGACAAAAAAAAAAAAGAGGAATATTTTAGGTAGGAAGCAAGGCTAAAATTTTTAACAATTTTATTAAACATTCATAACTGAAACTTAAGAATTTGCTCAGTATGACCAAACTCAGCTAAATGCTAATAAAAAAAAAAGTGTATTTTAATAAAATAAATATTTATATTCATCTAAAATATTAAAAAAAAAAAAATTATATTTAATCAATAGTAAAAAATGTAAGTAAACTTTTACTTAGTTTATTAAAATATTTTAATGACTATGAATCAAATTAGACTTATTAACATTTAAACATGAAGTGACATTCAAATTTTTTAACTGAAAATGGCTGAAATTTCACTCTTTATTGTTTTATTGTAAGCATGAAAGCTTGAGAACTTATTCAGAGATTCATATACATACATAGACATTTATGTAACTATAATGTTAAAACCATACAAACTGCTGTTTACAAATCAACTAAACTAACATGTGAAGAATACATTTTTAATATTATTAAAAACTTTCATTCAACTTTTACTTTATTATTTGTGAATATTTGTTTTGTTATTTCAACTAATATTTTTGTCACCAGTTTTGCAATCACCACAGTTTATAAAAATTGATGTTTATTGTCTTGTCTGATTTCACTAACCAATTGGTGTAGTAAGCAAGAAAGAGTAGGAAAAAGTATCAAACTTCAGTCAGACAAAATTTTTTCTCTATGTCCTGAATCATTATTAGACTGGCTATCCAAATTAGAAACAAAACAAAAAAAACTAGAAACATAAAATGCATATTATCATATATTTTGATATAGGCTCTAAATTTATTGGAAGTCAAAATTAAAACATTTTATTATTCATGTTTAAAAAAAAAAAAAAATTAAATTATCCTTTTCCACATCAAAACCTGTCAGCTAGATGTGAATGTTACAAAAGCAAAATTAAAAAGTTGCTCTGCAAAGCAGCTCAAAACATTACATCTGATCACAAAACAATCCCCCCCACCTCAAAATAAAGAGCCAATCATGAACATTGCTGCAGAAGCAAAAGAGTAACAAAAAAACAAAAAAAAAATACTGAGTCATGTATCCACTCTGACTGCTTAAAAGGACCCATTCACAACGCTCAAGAGAGTCATAAACAAGTAGACAGCCATAGAAACCTCTAGTGGCATTGGTCAACCAACCTGACACAAGATTCAATGCCAGTCAATACTGACTCCAGCATCCTCCAGGTCACTTTCCTAAACCACAAAAACACATTCCACTTTGATCTTTTATACTGTCAATACAAAGAATTTTATTTTAACATATCATGTCTTCTGTTTCTGCCTTACCTGCACTACTTTATAACACTTATAAACATTAACATTAAATTTGTCAATTTTAAAAAAACCTCACACCCATTAATATTAGTATTCAAATAATATATTTCAAAACATTAAAATTGCTAATGCTGACAAGTTTAAATCAAATTATTTACTCCTAAGAGTAAGATTAATTCATTTTCTGCAGTTTATTAACTCTTTGCTAGTTGTTTAAAGCCAGAAAATATCTTTAAATCATATTTTTTTTTAAGATAATAACGGTTTAGTGATAAAAGTCTTACTAATTAACCCATAGCTGGAGAGGTAAATTCACACCTTTCCCAAGAGTATTTGCATGTAAGTGGATATAATGAACCCAACTGGAATTGGAACTTAGCTCGCCAATTAACAATTCCAAGTAATTATCCATTACACCACCTGCACATCTAAGCGTACCTGGTATTCCCAAGCAGTTACCCATCTAGGTACTGACCAGGCTCGACATTGCTTAACACCAGTGATCATACAGGAACAAGCCTCTTAAGATTAAGGGGTGTGAGAATGATTTTGAAATCCCAAATGGGTACAAACCTTGAAAAAATTATGAATCACTATTATGTTCTTGGTAAAAAAAAAATACTGATTTTTGCAATTGTGCCATAAATATAAATTGGTCAGATTCCTAATCATAGTCAAGTAAAAATTACTTTGGAAAATATCAAGCAGAAAAGTTTCAAATTTCAATTCTGATTAGTCAAGGCTTACAAAAATTAAAATTATTAATATTTATTTACTAAGATGAGCTTCTTATAGTATTAGGTCGAATTAGGTTTGGAAGAATATGTTGAGTCAATTAAAATTATTACTCTTTACTTTTAGAAAAATTTATTTAGCCTCCTAAAAATTTGTTTTTAGTCATTTCCAAATTAAGAAAAATTTATAGAAAAATATTTTTAAAGGGTTCTCATGCCTTACCAGACTATACAGAACCGTCATATAGCCTGATGTGCCTTAACCAGTTGAGCCATAGAGGATCGTTCAGTTAACAAGGTCGATTTTACTGCTCTTAAACTGCAATCTTCTATGAATCTCTCACGCAAATTCATATCTGCTCAAAGCGTATCCAAATGTGAATAAATGATGTCACACATTATGAAATGGACAAAGTCCGACAATTATTTTAAGACATTTTTATGTATAGGATACAGGTTCGATTTCGGAAGACGAATATTTTCTATGAAAATTTCTCAGACATTCAGGCCAGTAAATGCTATTAATACTGTTTTTATTATAAACAGAGCATTTACTTAAATATTTGTATCTATAAAAAGAATGTGTAAACATAAAATGTCTTAAAATAATTGTCGGACTTTGTCCATTTCATTATATTATATATATATATATATATATATATATTTCTCAAAATGTGGGGTGTATGTATGTGTGTGTGTGATCGGATGTTGTTTATGCATTTCCATAGTTTTCACCTGATTTTGATTAATTTTTTTTGTTTGATAGATAATTCTTTAATGCTGGTTTTAGGTCCAAATTTTTGGCGACAATGGCTCTCCACTACTTCTTATCCATTATAACTCTCAGCAGAGTTTACTATTTACTGTTTTTGGATATATATCTTTCATAAAAACTTTAATATAAATAAATATTTTAAACTATTACAATAATATTAATTATTATAATTAGTTCCCTTTTCAGGGCCACCCCTCATTCAAATTGTGACCCCCCCCCCTATTTGGGGATGTGCTTCAGTTGCACCCAATGTTGTTACTAATATTGATTTTCAGGTGGGCTGACTTTAAATTTAAACTGCTCCAATTGAACGGCAAAAATCCCCAGTAATGATAAACCTGGTCAAAGACTGGTTATATTGCTAGTGTATATCTCCAATATCAAAATGAGACAATAAACTTTAAAATACAATATCCACAATAAACTAGATTAGAATCTGCAATATACTAGCTTAAAAGCCGCCCTATCAGATCGCATTAAAGCTAAATGATAAATCCTGAGGAGGGCTCTTTATTGGGCCTTCATCACAATAGGTAGGGTGGAGTAGATGCGATAGGCAACAATAAACTACAGAAGAACTCAAAATTTATCACTGCATTTAAGTATTGCATTAATATTTAAGCTTATCTTTTAAAAGTTCAAAGGTAATTTTTCTGCCGACACTTAATTTAAACTTAAAGACAATTTGATGTACGTAGGTCCTTACTTTCTGTACAAGCAATTATTTATTTATTTCCAAGTTATAAAAATTGTTATCGCACAAAAAAAAAAAAATTCGTCGTAAAAAAAAAAAAAAAAAAAAAAAAAAAATCGCCGAAAACAATTGCAGTAATGAAAACTTGGGAATCGAAAATTTCAGGATTGTGGCCTGGGATGTTTTTAATTTGCTCACGAAGTCGACCGGATTCCAAAATGGTATGAGCTATGGCCTCTAGGAGTAAAGTTGAAATTTATAGATACGCTTCGGCTTATTTCATGCTCACCAATTTTATGATCCATTTTTATACATAATTATAAAATAAATGATCCCTTTTTGAAACGAATGCATGCTCCAACACCCTTCAAGAACTCCTACACTAAATGAGGATATGGATACCGGCGAATAGACTGTTACTGTCTTACGCCTTAATCTTATTCTTCTTGTGAGACAGGGATTTTGTCCATTTTTGCGGTTTGGGATCCGATAAGAGGCCCGGTTATTGCTATGGATTTGCTTTTTAATTTTAAGCTGAAGGGTTATTTTTTGTAACTAACAGAGTCATTATTTGAAATTTGAAAATAAAATGAGTTAAAAAACTTTCTTTATCCACTCTTGCTACTTAGCTTACCAAAAAAAAAAAAAAAAAAAAAAAAAAAACGAAAAATGATTCTAAAAAAACTAAAAAGGCTGTGAATAATCCTGTAATAAGTGGAATAGCAAATAATATTTCATTTGCTTTTTCTCAGTTTAATAAAACGCAAGCATCACGTTTAAAAACACACAAAAAAATGAATAATTTTTAGAGTAAATTTTTTTTGTTAGTTTACTGAACAAATATTTCAATTTCATTTATCAACATCGACCGGATTAACGAAGTTTCATTGTTTTTTTTTATGAAATAAATTTTAAAATAGTCGATTATAAAGTTATAAATCCCCTTAAAAGGGAGCTGTTAAGATAAATCAAAATATATTAAGAATTTTAGATTCTTGTGCTTAGGTAAATATTTTTTAATTCGTGCAGAAAAAAACACGTGGTCCACTTTTCATGTTGTCTTTGCTTCAAACTACATACTTCTTATTCATACATACTCATTACGAATACTTTTTTTTTTTTACTTAACTTTCAGCAGTTAAACAAAAAATGTGTTAAATATTGAAAAGAATATATAAATTTAAATAAAATAACTTTCTTACTCTTTTCTTCTTGCGTCCCATACTGGCTGAGGTATCACCGGATACAATGTGAAATGGATACCAAATGTGTGTTACAATAGTCACTTTGAATTACTTCCCTTAGTGGAACTCTTCTCTTTACCGTGATGCTCTAGTTATATCATCATAAGTACCACGAAAATGGATTCATTTTTTTCCCAAAAATGCTAGCCAAAAATTACCAAAAATCAGGGAATTATCCAATTCAAACGAAATTTTCAGCACATATTTATTAATGAAAGAATTGTCTACTGATTAGATTGTTTTATTAGAAAGACTTTGTGAAAATATTTTGTAGCGGTCTTTTTCATTCCCATTTTCGACTTGTTGGGGAATCCGCGAATCCCTGATGTTAAAAAAAACTTTATACAATATCAAGGGTTAAGTTACGGAAAATTTGTCCCGAATCTTACCAAATAATACAAAAAAAAAAAAATTGACAGTTGGTGCGTGCGCACCAATGTGCGCTTGCATTTAATATTTACTTTTTAAAATATTTCAGATTGTCAGGCTTTACAATATATAGAAAAAGTAAATACAAATACAAAAAATTTACATAAGATTCTAGTACAAAAACTTTCTTTTGTGAGCCTTACAAATAATTAAGGCGGGATAACATTCACAGACATATTGCTAGTGTAGTGTAAATGTTATCTTGCCTTAATTTAAATAAATAAAAAAAGGATTACCATCGAAAATGGAAAAAATTACGATTTCAAAAATGACAAAAACAGAAAGCGATCCCAGAAAAGAGAAAAAAAAAGGTACAACCACCTTTCAGAAAAATGAAAACTCCTACTTTTGTCCCACGAGCGTCTCTGTGACATGACAATTTTGTAAACGTCTTTTTTCGTTGTCCAACCGCAGAATTTTTACTTCAAAATACCTTTGCTCTCTGTATCTGGCTTGTGACTCTGTGCCTTCTTTTTACTCTTTTTTGATGTCAGAAAATGCCTTAAGCTCCTTGATGTCAAATGCCTTCTAACTACTTTTTTCTTGACGTCAAAAACCTTGTCCTTATCTGCTCACCGAAGTTCTAATTTATTCAAAAAAGAGACTAACAGAAGGCTCCAAGTTTTCACAAAGACTTGAGACTACGTCTCTCATTGATCAAAATAAGTTTCGATAAACTTGAAATAGATCCTAACAATTTTGGCTGTTTTTAACCGCCGAGCATAAAAAGATATACATATGTAACAATTTTTTTACACAAATCGCCTGGCCCTCTTAAAAAATGGGTGCAATTAAATATTTTATGACATCAAACAAATGAGAAAATAATAAAATAAATAAATAAAAGCAATGAATAAACTCAACGTATCATTGCACTGACTAGTTTTTAATTAAATTCCTTTTTTTTGTATACATCTGCTGATGTAATATGAAAATAAGATTATTAATTCTAAGTTTAATAAAAATGTATAAAATAAAAAATTATATTCTTAAATGGTTCTTAGGTTAAAGATTTATTTTTAAACATAAATACCAGTTTCTTTATTATTATTATACTGCTGATGTTCTTTTATTTTTCGCGCGCGTTATATAGTTTCTGTTTTTGGCCTATAACATCGCAGGCTACTATACATAAATAAACGTTATTTTCAATGTTTTAAGTTGTAAGAAATTCAGTCGTCCAGGTTTTTGATACGACTATCTCCCCTCAGAGCGTGCTGAAAGACACATGTATGGCAACTTCAAACGAATCATCGCCACCAACAGCAGCATGGACGGCAAGTCGGCGACTTCAAACGAATAATCTCCAATAACAACAAAAGCAGTCAGTCAATATTAGCTAACGATGTAAGTCTTTTTTTTATTATTTGTTTTTATGACAAAAACCTGGACGACTGAATTTCTTACAACTTAAAACATTTGAAAGGAACCCGAACGAGGCTACGCCGAAGGGCGGAGTCTCTTTCGGGGAGGTAAACCGACCCTGAACTCGTTTATACGGGTTCAAAGGGTACATTTTTGGCCGAACCCTAGGGCTCGGAGATCCCACGTTAAACCGGCCTTGTGCCACATGATGCCCTCGTGGGGGTGGGGGTGACTAAATACTGTTCAGTCTGAAGTCTGGAGTGAGGTCCGTCAGGAGTCTGTCAGTCAGTCAGAGCGAGCGAGTCAGTCAGTCGTGTCAGAGGCAGTTCGAAATAGAGTCGCGTTCAGATAATTACTACTAAACCTGATTGTTCGTACTAACACTTTCTACTTCTCTGTATATATTCCTGTTTGTAATATATCTGTGTTATTCTATATACGTGTCCGAGTTCTTCTTTATTGATTCTACCTTGGACTATCACCGTGGTACAAGGAACCGGACCATAACAGAAAGTATGCAAACCATATATACCTATGGTGAGCAACAAACTCTCCTACCTTTGTCTTAAATATTTTTAATAATATTTTGTGTCAGATCATTTAATCTGTTGTGTGAACATTTACTCTTCGTGACAATAAGTTAAAACTACAGACTTTAAGAATTCTGATTTATCTTCCTGAAACGAGCTACTGACACTACATCAATCGGGTAAATCTTGTTTTGTTAAAATTACCCATCTCTTTCCTGGTTATTGCCATCCTTCATTAATCTTCTTGGGATGGGTAAATCAATTGTTCATTTTAATCCCTAAACCCGACGCTACTATATCTATACAGTGGTTCATCTTCAGTAATACTAATAAAAAAAGACATTTAGTTAAATTAACATGGAACAATAATAAAATTACAAAACTTTATCTTTTTTTCACACATTTCTGATTCGTCCTGTCGATGAGGCTTAGAATACATCAATTTCAGGGGCTTGTAGCAAAAGTAACATTTTTTTTTATCCAGACATACATGCATTGAAAATCCTGTCATCAGCAGCGACCCTTTTTCAGCTTTTGGTTATAAATAAAAGTTAAAATAAATAGGAGCATGCGTATTGCGAATCCCAAGAGGTTAGTCCTCTTTCAAATCGAACCGAGGTAAGACACTAAAATTGGCGCCCCCTTTAACAGATGCACATGGTATAGGCAAAACATCTGACTCACTCTTTAACTCACCAACAAGTAAGTTGGTTAAATCGAATTGGTTTGAATATTGAAAACGGCTTTCTGTTGTATTTTCCTTGTATAGTTGCTCACTTTTCCTGTAAACTTAACCACTATACATGTTAGATCGGTAAGATTTGCAGGCATTTTTTTAATGATCTTCATTTTGCAAAATAAATAACCTTAACGAAGTCAAAAAATATACAAAAGACACAGAAACAAATTCTAGCAATCAAGTAGCAAAATAAAAAAAAAATAAGAAAGAAAACACCCACGAAAATCTAATGTATTCTAGAAAGAGCGATACAAACTGCCATATAGCCTAGCGTGCTGTACCATTCAGCTACAGAGAAGCGTCCGTTTAGCTAAGTTCGAATTACCGTTGATAAACACACACCGATTTCAGGCTATATGACGGTTACTATAAGGGTTACAGGTTCTATTTCTCTCGGAGAACGCATATTTTCTACGAAATTTCTCGAACATTCATGCCGGTAAATGTAATTAACACTGTTTAATTAAAAACAGATCATTTAGTTAAATAAATTATATCTATAAAAATAACGTATTAAACAGAAAATATATTAAATATCCATTTCATAATATATATATATATATATATATATTAATCCATTTCATAATATATATATATATATATATATATATATATTAATAATACAATATTTTTATAAATATTGTAAAATTCTAAAAGTAAATGATAATATTATTGCATATTTATGTAATCTCAAATTTTCAAGAAAAGTTAAGTTAATGACCTTTTAGAATTCTTCCATGTGAATAGGAGTTCACTTTTTGAATAATAAGAATTATATGTCACAGGTTGGGGAAGGCATCAGGATTTTCGAGATGTTTAGGTGAGGCATGGCCAAAAAACCCTTTAGGTGGGGCAGGAAAACACGCAAGCGAACAACTGAACCTCATAACTGTACACAACGATATTGTTAGATCGGTACCAGGGTTCAAGCAGGTATTAACAAACTATAAGGATGTCTTCAACGGTGAACTGGAATCATTACCCGGGCAAGGGCATCTACGAGTTAACTAAACTATCAGACTGCATACTGCCGCACCTGAACGCAGACCAGTGTCCATGATCCCTCAAGTTAAAAAGGAATTAAAGCGTCTGATGGAACTCAGGGTTATCGCTCTCGTCGACTAGAATAGCAAAATGATCATACCTACAGACTGGAATAGCAGAATGATCATTGCAACAAAGAGCTCTGGTCACATCTGTATCTGTATTGATCCAAGGCTCCTGAACAAAGCACTGAAGCGTGAATGATACCAGTTGCCATCCATAGATAAAGTGCTGTCAAGGACAACGAATGCGAAGTATTTCACCGAGTAAGGCGTGATACCAGCTTACTGACATGTAATATTGGACAACGAATCCAGTTACCTCATTATATTTCAAACAAGTTTCGGGCGATATCGGTGACTCAAATTCCTCTTTGGAATGTGTATGAGTTCCGAAATATTTAAAAAAAGTTTCCACCTCGCTCTTGACGGCCTGAATGGAGTTGCATGTGTTGCCGATGACATCATAGTGTTTGGTTCAGGAGACGAACTTGATCAAGCATCAGCAGACCACGATTTAAACCTGAAATTACTACAGCAACTATACAACAAGAAGAGAATTAAACCGAACAGAGAAAAAGTTCAGCTGAATGAATTAGCAATCAGCTTCATAGCGCACATTGTAACTCATGATGATCTACCCTGCTAAAATTGACGCAGTCACCAAGTTGCAACTGCCCACTTCATTGAAAGAAGTACAGCGACTCTGTGGAACTTTAAATTACCTGGGAAGATTTCTGACTCAGCTATCCTCTGTCATGGAGCCGATCCGACGACTGACACGTAACGATGTTCCATGGACATGGTCTCGTGCACACGTCGCAGCATTCACAGAAATGAAGCAACATGTGACAAGCACCAGTACCCAGTTTCTACGACCCGAGTGAAGCATTCGTGGTTCAGTGTGATGCACGCACAGAAGGGCTTGGTGCAACCATACTACAGCAAAGAAAGACCGTGGCATATGCAAGCACGGTCCTCACTAAGACAGAGCAGAGGTTATACACAAATTGAAAAGGAAATGTTTGCAATAGTACTCTCATTGGAGATATTTTACCAGTACATATATGATAGAAGGACAGTGATTCACACTGACTACAAACCAATAGAGGCCATGGTGAAGATTAACCCCCTTGTGAAAGCACCAAAACCTCTGCAGGGAATGTTACTACGGACCTCAAACTGAGTTTGAACAAGCGAATATGATCAGCTTTCGTGCGATCCGTGACGAAAGGCTTGCGCAGATCCACAGAGCAACAGTCTAGTACGAAGTATGTGACCAGTTGAAGAAAACCATATTACAGAGGTGGTTGTCTGATAAAGCAAATCTTTCGGATACTCTATACGCATATTTCTGTTATAAGTGAGATGTCCGCCCAAGATGGTCTCATATTTAAAGGTGACCGCCTACCTATCCCTCTCAGCATGCAGAGTGAAATTAAACGTGCACTTCATTCATCGCACACAGGTTTCAATAGATCCCTACAGCGAGCCGGAGAATGTTTTCTGGTCAGGCGTATTACTAGACATACGTGAGTACATTTCTACACTTGAAACTTGTCGTAATTAACAATAGAACAACATAAAGAGACACTAATATCACAAGCTATACCTGATCGTCCGATGTTGGCGTTGACCTATCTGAATTTGACAGCGTCGATTACCTCGTAACTGTCGATTACTTTTCGAACTTCTGAGAAATAAATCGACTTGAGGACACTACTACCTCAACCGTCATCCGCAAATTGAAGGCACACTTTGCAAGATACGAGATTTCCGACGCAGGACACCACTTTACGTTTTCATCATTTAAGAACTTCTTGGAAAAATGGGATTTCGGATATCTCATGGTGATCCTGTAGTGAGAGAAAAATAAAATATTCACTATTTAAAAACTAAAAGAAAACTATTTAGAAAACTAAAAGTTGGTAAATCATTTTGGTTTACCATAAAGAAATAAAAACAAAAAGAAAATGAAATAAATAAAAGAGGCCAAAAGGTCATCATTCCTAAATGTAGCTGAAGAAAAAGGAATGGTCAAACAAGTCACATGTGTGAATCAAGAAACAATTCTGGAATCAAGAAACAATTCTGGAATGAATTTCTTTATCTCGGAAAAGTGTAAAAACAGACAGAGACGACCATGTAAAGGAACCAAAGAGTAGATGAAATAATTTCGTTTGTTCTCCCTACATTATCGGACCACGGAGATTACTACTATCAATGAAATACTTACATACAAACATACATAATAAATAATAGCTGGCCACTCGTATTCGGGGATACCTGTCTACTGGGGGCGGCTATTGCAGACGCTCGCTTGTGTTTGTTCAACACCCACAGAGTCCACCTGTGGTTTTGTAACTATGCTGAGCAGTTCCTGGGAGAGAGCGTGTTATCTAGCGTGATCAACAACCTGAATAAGTCCAGCATACTAAAACTGGGATCGTCCCTCTCCAGACCGATAACACCAGGAAGTCTCCTTCCTGGCAAACCAACTGTGGTGTGATTCGAACCCGGGTTTCATGGTCAGAAAGCGAACGTTCTAACCACTCGGCTACGCGGCCATTAAGATACATATATACATACACACACACAAGAATTCTCTTTTTCTTTTTCTCTCTCTCTTTCTCTCTCTCTCTCTCTCTCTCTCTATTTTTAAAGGACTTTAAAAGGAGTTAGACGTTGAACACTAGAATTTTCTGATATGAACATATGAACTCTTTGAATATTGTATATTTTATTTTAAGAGATATAAAATTTTATCAGTGCATGCAAAATATATCTTTGTACTAATTATCTTTGCATGCATTTTTAAAAGGCCAAAAATTGGTGTATATTAGGATTAAGGACATTATCCGATGATAAGCATCTGTAAAACCCACGTAAACTCCACAAGCTCCGGAAATCACCAAGCAAATGGCAAAACCGAATCCGCAGTTAAAACTGAAAAAAAAAAACGGATCACGCAAAAGAATAAGGACAATGACCAGTTTTTGGCACTGCTTGACTTCAGAAACGCTCCAATCCAATGAATGAGAGGCAGCTCTTCTCAGCGCCTACTAAATCACCGCACCCATACGCTACTACCCACAAGAAGAAATTTACTAAAACTTAAAACGGTGAGCCTTGATAAGACTCACAAGCAGAAGTTTCAGGCTAAATATTATGATTGCCACGCACGTAATTTACTTGTGCTGAGTGAAGGTGTGATGTTGTACGAATGTACCAGTACAAGAAAAGTGAACGAATGAAGGAGAAAAGCGTAATAAATCCTTGACTGGATGCGCGTTCGTGCAAAGTCCTGACCTCAAGTGGAATCTATCGACAAAACAGACGTCACCTATGAAAATCATCAGAACCAGTAAAGTACATGACAAATGGTCAGCAACCCGGACCGATACTCTGTTTGCCACATGACACGACAAAAAAAAAAAAAAAACTAGCTCCACCACCTCTAACTTTATCCTCATCAGCCCCAGCTGTCGCGAGCGAAAGCAACTGAACTAAATGAATGCGAATCTTCTGCCAGAATTCACCCGCACACTGAACGAGGGATACGGCAGCCAGTGTACCTGGTATTTACCCAAGACCTCCCCACAAGGCGGGATGTAGTACAAAGCGGGATGTAGCACAAGGTGGGATGTGGCACAATGCTGTTTTTTTTTTTTAGCGTGGGGCGATTCCAAGCCCGTAAGCTCAGCCAAAAATTCTTTTTAGACCACGTAATAACGGAGTCAGATTTGTCTACCTCCCCAGAAGAGACTCTGCCCTTCGGCATAGCTTCGTCAGGGTTTCTCTCCACCCGGAAGCAGTGAGTTCGACAAAAGAGGAAGAGAAAACCTCCTGTGAAACAAGTAAAGGACAGTATATAAGACCGTCTATTTAAAAAAAACGTGGGTGTTACATCATTGTTTAAGGTGTACTCCCTTTGCATTACAATTGAATATGCATTACAATTGAATATATACTCACTACTCAACGTTAGAGAACTTGATTCTCGCTTCTTTTTTATCCCTAACCTCTTTCTCTCTCTTCCTTCTCGTACTTGAATAAAAGCCGACTCTTTCCTAAACATGAGACTGTCCTGTTTTTCCATGACTTAACGTAACATTAATAATGTGGTTAAAAGTTTTCAAAATTCGATAAAAAAATCAAGTGAATTTTTTTTTCTGTTTTTTAAATCCTATTATTAAAGATATATAATATTACTTTAATTTTCCAAAGAAATAAGATTGTGAATAAAAAAAAAATATACAATCGAGACCGGAACGAATCAAGACGACGCGTGACACGCTTCCAGAGCGTTACGCGTTTATCTATTCAAACTAAACCGTCTTAACCAACGATTTGAATCCAGTCTGTGTTTGCAACTTGGCCTGGGTCGATAGGAAGTTTGTCACAGGCAAGATGATCACACATGCAACAGTTACCTACCCAACTCTATCGTACGGAGGATTTTCCCCGTCTGGACAAACTGTCCCGCAGAACCAAGAAATATTTCATGCACCACAGATTCCGAGACATTGTTTTTATCCCGATCAAAATGTATTTGTAAATCAAGGACTGGGCCACCAATTCCAACCCGGCCAATGGATCCCTATAGGTGAAGAAGAAGGGTGGCACTCATACATGACCTATATACCTGCGTTAATCTATGTTCCAAGATTAGAAGTATATTTGCAGTCTACAGGGGCACAGCCCGTTCAACTTCAACCGTGCATGTATCCGGCTGAACACTCTCCGTATTTCTCGAATGAATTGTCATCGTTCCTAACATCGCAATCTTTGATAAATTCATTTCCCCAGTTGCACGCACAAATATCTCAGCCTACGTTTGAAAATGTACCAAAGCTGACCTTCCAAGAAATAACAACCCACTCTGTATATCAAGAAGAACAAAACGTAATAACATCAAGTAATGATGTTTCTCTTATTTGTGAACAGTCGTATGATGCAAATAATGCTACCCTGAATTTATCACAGTCCAACACAAGACAGAATAAAAAGTTAAACCTTAAGTCAAAGAGGAAAGTAAACAAAAAGGATAAGTCATATTTCAAATCGTCCAGTGCTTCTTCTCAAATCGCCGATACACACACGAATTCAAAAAACACCGTCAGTGCTGATTCTCCCCAGAATTCTCTTCCTCCCGAAAGCGAAACCTTATGCAATGCCAATGACGATGAAAAAGACACAAGGACGGATATACAACAAAGTGATGAGATAGAAAAAGGTACCAAAGATCAGTCGGAGCAGCTGACAGATGCCGATGAGAGTTGCCGCGGACCAGCGTGGAGAATGTCATGCAAATACCCAGTGTCACCGAATGAAGAAATGTGCAGAAAAGTGCGGGCCATTTTGAATAAACTAACGCCTCAAAACTTCGACGCTTTACTGTCGCATATACAGGATATTAAGATTGACACGGAAAACAAACTGGAAACAGTTGTCGAGATTTTGTTTAAAAAAGCCATTGTTGATCCGAGATTTAGCGAAATCTATGCTAAATTCTGCCGTTCTCTCAGGATGCTTCAAGTTAAATGTACGACAAGACCAAACGAATACATCAGCTTCCGGGAAATACTCGCCAAAAGGTGCCAAGAAGAGTTCGAAGGAAAACACGACACTGACACATATAATGGCGTTGTAACCCGACGTCCTTCGGAGGGCAATGTCCGATTCATCGTTGACCTCTTCAAATTAAAGATACTAACTGAAAACGATATGTATGCGTTTGTTTCTAAACTTCTCCAGTCTAAAGACGAAGAGAAACTAGAATACCTGTGTTGTTTGTTAATGGCCGTCGGTAATAAGCTCAAATCAAATATATCAGATCCAGATTCGAACAAGACAATAATACGCGAAAGAAAAATAATCCAGCAATACTGCGATCAAATGAAAAACGGAGCTGCAAAGGGCAATTCTTCGTCTCGGGTGTGGATGATGCTACAAGAGATTCTTGAATTTCAGGAAAACAATCGAATTGTGGAACCAGCGGAAGATTCGGTCGAAAACGAGGGTCCCATCATGTCTACTGACAATGGATATGCGGCAGCCGTAAAAAATGGCTTCCTTAACAAAAATGAAAATGCTGACACAAGCAGTCGAGATGACAACGTTCAGGGTCACCGTGCATCCTACAGTGAGAAGAAAGCAACAAGGTATCAGGGTCGGGATCAGTCGGGCAAATCAAAGCGAGAAAACAATAATTGGCCACGTTGGCAACAAAAATGTCTGCTTCGCAGTTGGCGCCGAGGCAGTGCAGATCGGCACAAAGAAATTCAACCGCAGATGTTAGACGAAAAGCTTTCCATGTATGATCTTCTGGAAGAGGCTCCTTAACTGGAATCAGTGGACGAAATTATCAAATGAGTAAAATATATTTATATTTATATTCTACGAGATACCATGTTTGAACAATAAAATTACATTTAAAAGAAAAACATTCTTGTAGTGTCCGACTCGAAGTCAACAATTTTTGTGGTAGTAATAATTGTAGTAAACTTGTTCGACTGTTTTAGTTAAATAATAGCGATGGCTTTTGTTTTTAATCAGAATGGTCACCAACGTAACAAAATAACTCTAATTTGTTAAAAAACAACATTTATTATAGAAAATAAAACATATATTGCATAAGTGACAAAATAGTAAATCAAAAAAATAGATAACAGATGAATGCTAACGAAATAAGTTAAAAATAAATGTTTGTTAATTTCTTTTTGTGAAAAGATTAAATTGTATCGAAAGTTTATTGAGTAACAGAATTTATTTCTGTGTGAAACGTGAACAGAAAATTTTAGTCGTCTGCTTTTCTTAGAGTCACGAGATTCGGAGTTAACAAATGTATTTTTGCCGCACAAAACCAAATTTGTATAAGTTTTGGGACCAAATTAAATAGCTCTAATACCAAACCACTTAACATCCATCATTAGACTATACTTGTAAGACTAACCTTGCAAAATGGCATAAAATCCATATTTCTTTACCTATAGTCCATGTGTTATACCATTTTTGTGTAAACGATTGTTACCTTTTGTGAATGCACCCGATGCATTACGCTGTACAATTTATAAATGGCCTAGTTATGATTATCTGTAAAGAAAAACAGGATGGGAATGAAGCAAACGAACACAAAAAAATATCCACAGAATTCTGGGGTCCTGTAGGTTCTTTCCTCCCTACTTGAAAATTGAAAACTAAACAGAAAACAAAATTTGTAGCCTTATCATAGATTGAGACAGTCTATGATAAGGCTATTGAACTAAAAGTTAATTTACCATTTTTTCCCGGAACATTAGCTTCTAAAACGTTCAAGTCTTATTTGCGGAAAATCTATAGATCTCATTCAAAAAAAAAAACAAAGAAACAAAAAAAATATACAAGCAAGGCCGGATTTAGGCCCCTGGGGCTAATAGCATTAGGTAGCTCCTTCGTTACATATGTTCGCCTCCGTTTCTATAAAAAGATGCATCAAAATCTAAATGGGACCCCTTGGAAGGGCCCTATCAAATTTAAAAGTCCAACAACGAGAGGGTCAAAAATACTCTAAATTGTTTCAAATTAATTCAAAGGGGCCTCATTACATCAGAAAATAAACAAATCTCCTCTGTTTTTATATAATTATTTGTATAGTTTTATCATGGGCACAACCCCATATGTAAATCCAGCACCGAATACAAGGAAAAAAATGTATATTTAAAATCAAAACAAAATTTTTTTTTATTTTAGATGCTAGTTTTATGAGAATCAGATAAAAATATAAACTCAAGAATCTTTAAAACGTAATATCTGATCTAGTCCACTCACTTTTGATACCTGGTTAAGGCCCTCCACTCTTGACACCTGATTTAGCCCATTCACTCTTGACACCTGATTTAGCCCCTCCACTTTTGACGCCTGATTTAGCCTCCCCCCCCCCACACTTTTGACGCCTGATTTAGCCCCTTCACTTTAGAACCTCATTTACACCCCGCACACTTTATATTTTATGGAACCTTGCTTGTAAAATAACGCGAGTTTCATCGAAACTTTTCGAAAATGTAGGACTGGTAATTCGTAAGGTTCTGCCATAGAGCTAAAAAAAAAAAAAAAAAATGAAACCCGTAAGGGGCCTAGATTGCAGGAGTATTGAAGTGCAAAACACAACGCCAATAGAGTCTCGTAAAAAAAATCACATACAGAAATATGACAATTTCTTATTCTTTTAATAGTTCACAAACTTACGGGCAATAAACTTTACTTACTTAAAGGAAAGGAACTGAATATCGAATTTTTACTTTAATATCAAAACTTTGTTTTCGGAAGGAAATAGCTTTATTCAATTCCAGATTTGCGCCATTTTGGTCTTTCAAATAGCAAAGCAACTCCTGCCTCATTAAGTGGAGACTTTTTCGGTGAAGATGAGTATTAGTTGTGAATAAGTGTTCTGCGATTATTTTTATCTGTACAAATCGCTTAAGAGGTTAGATATTTGCGAAATGAATATTAGCTTCGAAATACTTTCATTTTTTGTTTTATTTCTCATGAAGGTATCTAGGAGTATTAATCCTCACCCATGCCACAACAGAATGTGACACAAGGTCGGGGTTTAATGTGGTTTAATTTCGGGAAAGGTATCCAGGAGAAAATTAATATGATATAATTTTTATTTATTTTATTTCATTTTATATTTTTATTTTGAATGTTCTGTACGTTTCTTCAACTGGTGAAGAATTTTGAAAACTTAATAAAATTTGTGCTCGAACTGCTACGAACAAAGAAAAATTGTGGCAGAAAAAAACACAAATAAATATTAACACACGCACAAACACACACACACAAACGCGCACACATATTGGAGAAACTCTCCTCCAAATGTTTTGTCTCAGAGACAAATTAAGAATAACTGATGTCGTAAGCACAGCTCAACAGTGGTACTTTCCCCTATTGACATAGAGTTCTTTTTTTATGTGCCGTGTCACTTTAGGAAGTGGGTGATCATGGCACTCAATAACTTCCTCTCCTTTGTAGCTTGAAGTTGTGTTTGTCCTCCCATTCTCTGTTCTGCTATTCGTTTACACAAGCTGGTTAGGTAGGTTACGCGATATTCCCCCTGCCCCTATTGCATTCAATATGTCCTGTGAGTATCAAATTCTCCAACTCCTCTTTCCTCATTATGCGTTCCAGAAATTAAACCGCCTCTTTCTGCTTATAAATACAAGTGTCCTGTTTGTTTCTATTTCTCTTAAAACTTCCTCGTTGTTCACATATTCCGTCCATGGTATTCTCAGTATCCTTGTGTAAAATCAAATCTCCGTTGCATCAAATCTCCTCCATCAGTGAAGAAATTGTCCTGTATTTACTGCCATGTCAGAGGATTTATATCAGATTGTAGACACACACATACACACACTCTCTCTCTCTCTCTCTCTCTCTCTCTCTCTCTCTCTCTCTCTCTCTCTCTCTCTCTCTCTCTCGTTTCTTAATACGTGGTTTAGATTTTGGAAGGCATGTTTCGCTATTCCAATGCATCTTCGAAATTCCGTGTCACATTTTTCGTCATCTCTTAAAACACTTACCAGATAGTTAAATTTATGTACTTGTTTGATTTTGACGTCTCTAATTTGTAGCTCGCGACTTGGGCTGCCCCTTTTGCTGACAACCACACATTAAAAAATGAATAAATAAAATATGTCTATATTATTCAATGAAACATGTTTATATATATATATATATATGTGTGTGTGTGTGTGTGTGTGTGTGTGTTTGTGTGTGTTTTGTACATTCATTTTTCTGTATACATGAGTGCTCAATATTAAATTACTTTAAAGGGTTTTTTAATACACAAAAATAACCTTTTTCATTATTTATCACTGGAATCAATGTTGATATTTAAATAATCCACAAAATTATATATATATATATATATATATATATAATGAAACATGCATTAATATATATATATATATATATATATATATATAGTCAGACAAACCTACCAAAGTTTCACCTAAGCGGATCGTCAGGGAAGCCTAGGTCTGCTCTACTCATTGTATTGAGCACTTTATTTAGTTATTTTGGGTACTCGCATTGGTTTTTTTTTTTCTTTGGGCCTTGGACTCGTATGCTGGACGATTATTTTCGGTTAACGTACATGTTCTTGGTTCTTTCTATTTTTATACCTTTTTTCCCCCCTTTGGTATTGTCTTTTTATTTGCAAAGCAAGACACCGAAGGTTTTCCGAGCAGTATAGTTTCTTATACTTATAAGATTTTCTATTAATAATAATAATAATAATAATATATATATATATATATATATATATATATATATATATATATATATATATGTTTGTGTGTATATGTGTGCATATTCAGCGTTCAAAACATTAATTTAGAACAGATCTCAATACAAAAGTAGAGCCGTAAATAGCCGTAGAGTTGCATCGTGATTCCCCACCTGATGAAACGGTAAAAAAAGTTTACGTTCTTTTTTAACGTTGAAACAAGATGTACAGTTTTGTAGTGGACATGTGCATGTTCTAATGTAACACTGCAGAGCAGGGTTTTATGAGAGATCGGCTGTTGCCCATGCAGCACGTCTTCCCTCTCCAGGTCACCAATGTTATCCAAGGGGAAGGCAGAGTCCAATACAGCTTGGTACCGGCGTCGTCGCAGGAGATGCCAGAACGAAATTAAACATGACATCGGGCTGTCTTAGAGTAGGCGAAGTAATTTCTGAGACGAGGGACATGTTAACCTCAACATCTCCGGTGCAAAAGGAACCGGCAAGCACTATTTTGTCTTGAATATCACCATGAACCACAATTACAACAGAAATACGGAGGGTGGTGACTACAGCGGCACAAAATGCGCTAATTGATTTAATGAATGTTATCAGTACATTCTACCAAGGCCGAGCAATGAATACTTCAAATCACTCCCCAGACTGTCACCGAAACACTAGTGTTTAACAGTTGTTTGCAGGGGGTTTAAGAAAAATTCAGTTTGGATTTTCTCCAGACCCAGATACGTCCAACAGGAGAGAATCTGGCAAAGGATGATTCGTCGAAGATTACACCTGGACGAAAATTCAATCATTTCTTCAACATACTATGTGCTCAGTCTTTCTCTAGACCCAGACACATCAAACAGCAGGGATTGGGCAAAGGATGATTCGTCGGAGAAGATTACACCTGGACGAAATTTCGATCATTTCTTCAACATATTATGTGCTCAGTCTTTTAATGTTGGCTTGTGTCTAGCATCCCTCCTCTGACAGCCAATGCTATGGTGATACCATGCAATTGTTCTGAAATTCATCAAGGAAGTTCTTGGGTAAGAAAAAACTACGGCGCCTGCCTTGATAAATTTCATCTTAACATTTCTTTAATGTTCGAAAATCGACAGAAATGGGGTCACGGTGGTGATGGCGAAGGGGACCTAGAGTATGTCGAGCGGAATGTTTCTGCTGGATTCGGGCTGAATGTAGTATCAACAAAACGGGGTCGCTGTGGTGACGGCGAAAAAGGTATGGCGCTGGGTGGTGGTGACGTTGAGCTATTAGAAATCATGGTTGTTGGCGTCGGGAGCCTCGCGGTGTCGAAGCTGGTGTGTAGGTTGCATTCTACGCGTGAAGAGTCAGGTGAGATTAGAGAAACGGTCATGGAGGTGACGGCGACAGTGCACCTGCGTGTTGGCAGGTGACCTTTCGTCCCGCAACTGTGTTGGTCGTTACCAGGGGCCTTCTTTTAGGCAAATCTGGTAGTCCCCAGGATCTTCTCTTTTTCCGGTGGGAACGTTCATTGCGGGTATTTGTTTCGTGGACCTGATGTGATGCTCCTAGTCCATGCGCAGAAAACGACTTTTTTTGTATTATTTTGTGTTCTGCCATCTTGGCACTCATATCCGACCGACATGCAGAGTGAATCAGAAAGACATCAAATGGCAGCAGAGTATAACAGATTACTTACATTATTTGGACTGTTATCCTCATCTTCATTGCCATATTCACAACGTTTCGGCCGTTGTACGCTCTGGCCTTTTTCAGGTGATTGGAGTTTCGAACCGAACCCTTTATTCCGTCCACCGGGGTAGATTGTTCTAGTTCCACGTGCCATGACATCCGGAAGAGGCATGGTACGTGGAACTAGAACAATTTACCCCGGTGGGCGAAATAAAGGGTTCGGTTCGAAATTCCAATCACCTGAAGAAGGCCGAAGCGTACAACAGCCAAAATAAAGTAAGTAATCATTAAACCTCATCTCAGAGATATAGAAAGATAAAGTATAACAGTTTTAACAGGGGATGGAAAATTTGACACCGAAATCTGAAGGCGCATTGGAATGGCAAAAGGTATCTTCCAAATATTAAGCAAAGTACTAAGACACAAGAAAAATTCGTTAGAAACAAAGTAATAAGTGCTGAACTTCTATATAATATCAATCCTCCTATATGGCTGCGGACACTAGACAATTTCATCATAGATGAGAGTAATACTTGAAGCAACAGAAATGTGGTTCTGCAGAAGGATGCTGAGAATAGTGTGGACGGAGCTGCTAATGAACAAAGAAGCCTTATGGAGAATGTAAACAAAATGATATTTATACTAAGAATCAAAAAGAGACAATTGAAATTTCTAGATTACATAATGAGAAAGGAGGGTTTTGAAAAAAGGAAAAGGGACAGTGGGCAGCAGACCACCGACCGGATGAGCTTATGTGAATGGATGAATGGGCAATGGAAGAGATCGTAAAAAAACAAACATTGAACCTTCAAAAATTTAAATGCAACATCTTCCTAAATTCTGTTTTTTTTTATTATCCTTTCGCCTCTTTAAAGTCTTCTCATTCTCCTTCATCCCCAGTGACCCCTTGGCATTCTCGTCTTGCTTGGTGTGAAATGATTAAAAAAATTAACTGAATGAAAGAAAAATATATTTAAGATACCTTGAAAATACATTTATCTATAGAGAATATATGCTACCTGCCAAATCAGTTCAAAAGTCGAGTGGATACTCTAATGTGTTAGAATAAGCTATAGCATTAATTTTATATATATTTAATTTGTGGACTCCAAACGAGGTGTACGTATGATATAGTTATCAAGAGGGGCTGACCGGAAGTAACCTGGGAAGTTTGTCTCTGTGGCTGCTGCTGCCGGAATTGTGGGTAGAATGAAGAGGCCAACTGCCACAGATACTGAATCATTTTTCCTTCTATATAATAAATGCGAATGTCAGTGTATCACTGTGTCACACTTTTTCATCTTTACGCCTAGAGGCCGGAGCCCAACATAACATACCATTTTGGAATCAGGCTGACCCCGTGAGCAATTTAAAAACATTCCGAACCGGATCCGGACCCGCAATCTTGAAATTGTGGATTCTCAAGTTTTCCTTATTGCGATTGTTTTCGGCGATCTTTTACGTGATGTTTTGCGACGAATTTTTTTGTACGATAACATTTTTTTAAACTTGGAAATACATTTAGGAATAATCGAAATTAATTGCGAAATCCAGCGAAAGTCACCCATGAAATAAAAATAATATTTTGCACGGAAAGTGAGGACCTACGTACATCAAACTGTCTTTAAATTGAGTGTCGGCAGAAGAATTATTGTTGAACTTTTAAAAGGTAAGCTTAAATGTTAATGTAATACTTAAATGCAGCGACCAGTTTTAAGTCCTTCATGTTGCCTATCTACTCCTCCTTACTTATTGTGATGAAGGCCTAATCAAAAGCCCTCCATAGGAGGTAGCTTAAGTGCCGCCGGATAGGACGGCTTTTAAGCTTGTAGAGCTTGTAGTGGGGCCGTGGTGGTTACCACTTGTTGAGGGTTCATGGCGTGGCTGTTAGCTGTTGTTGATAGAAGTCAGACGTAGAAGTAACGCAAGTAAGGTTCAGATACTCCTGCCCGCCGGGCCCAACTACATAAAAAGGTTGGACTTTGACTAAGTCCAAAGAAGAAGGCAAAGAAAGCAAACAAAACACAAGACCGATAATATATGTATATACAAATATATATTAATAACAACTTACAATACATGGAAACAGTACAAAGGACGAAGTGTGTGTGAATATTCTGTATGTGCGTGCGTGTGTGAATATTCTGTATGTGCGTGCGTGTGTGAATATTGTGCTTAGCGTGTTTCCACGTTATCCCTTGTTAGCGCCTACATTTCGAGGTTGATAGCTGAAATCCTGAAGGAAAAAAAGAGTTTACCTCAAGGTGTCAGTGCACAGGCCTGAAGGAAAAAGAGATAGAGGCGAAGAGTCAGCGGCTATTTATAACCAGGGAAGAGAGACCCCTGGTGAAAGGGTTAACGGAGTGAAGGAGGAGTTATATCCGACAAGCTTAACTTCTGCATTCAAGTGGATCAAAACTAATTACTATGAGTTAACTACATCCTCATTGGATAACAAATATTAAAATATTTCTACTGTATATTTTCATGTGCTAGTTATAGATTTTTGTGCAAGTTAAAC